GATGTCACTCCCCGCCTCACGTTGAGGGGACTTCGTTTGTTTAGTCCCAGAGGACCTGTCAGACCCCAAGTGACGTTGCCAACAGGAGACCCCTGCACACCCTCTGGGCCAGGCTCAGCCAACCGCCTGGGGAGGAGGGAGCACTGTGGGCTTGGGCCTCCACCCGCTTTGCCTCCAGGCCTTGGCGTTAAAAACTAAAACTGTAAGTGCAGGTGAGAGTCCAGCAAACACGAGGCAGGGATGGAGTTCCAGTGCTGAATGAGCCCCGGAAACAGGCGCTGCCACCGCTGCCCACCCCCAGCCAGGGCCTGCCTCGCACAGAGGGGCCCTTGGTGCCCCGGGGTGACACACAAGCCTGAACGAGGACCCCTGCAAGCCTCATGTGGAGATGTGAGCCGCAGTGCTGGGTGGGGCCCATGGGAGGGGCTTAAGCCATGGGGGGTGGACCCCTGGAGAATGGCTTCGAGCCCTCACTGTGGTGACGGGCGAGCTCTCATTCTCAGTTTGCGGGAGATCTGGTTATTTAAAGCAAGGGCCTCTAACCCCCAGGCTGTGGCTGGTCCCAGTCTGTGGCCTGTTGGGAACCCGGCCCACAGCACAAGGTGAGCAGCAGGTGAGGGAGCGTGACCGCCTGAGCCCTGCTGTTATGTCCTTACAGGGGCTGGTACCCTGCTGTTCACTGCACGTGTGAGGGTCTAGGCTGCACAGTCATGAGAATCTAATGCCTGATGATCTGAGGTGGACCCACTTCATCCTGAAACCACCCCCCACCCACTGTCCATGGAAAACTTGTCTTCCAGGAAACCAGTACCTGGTGCCAAAAAGGTTGTGGGGCTGCTGCTTTAAAGCAGCTGGCACCGTCCCGTCTCCCCCTGCTCTGACCATGTGACATGCCTGCCTCTCCTTCACCTTCTGCCTTGAGTGGAAGCTTCCTGAGGCCTCACCAGAAGCTGAGCAGATGCAGGCACTGTGCTTGTACAGCCTGCAGAAGGGAGAGCCCAATAACCCTCTTTTCTTTACAAACACCCCAGTGCCAGGTATTCCTTTACAGCAACACAAAACAGACTAACGCAAGAGTCTCCCCCTGCCAAAAAAAACCCCCACAAAAACCCCATGCATGAAACACCCACAAAACAGACTAACGCAAGAGTCTCCCCCTGCCAAAAAACCCCCCACAAAAACCCCATGCATGAAACACCCACAGGTAAAGGCTGCTGTCTCATCAGTTACGCTGCAGCAGCCTGGCCTGGGGCCAGGGAGAACTGTGTGTGTGAAGCTGTTGGGCACCATCTCCAGAGGCCCTGGCACCTGGCGGATGGGAAGGGACACAGCACAGGTTGGTGTCAGGTGCTGCTCTGGCGCTCAGGCCACACCTGTCAGGGGGATGTGGGTACCAACAGAAGCAAGGCCATGCAGCGCTGCAGGTGAGACGGAGGCAGAAGCTCCTCGGAGGACCCCGGCAGAGGCACAAGCCTACTCCTGGGGCAGCTCTGCCTGCCGTTTGGTCCGGTCTTCCTGCCATGCTGGTGCCAGGAAGCTTCGCCGCACGAGACTGGGTGGTGAGGGGCATGCAAGGACAGAGGCCTGTGTCACAGAAACCAAAGGCCTTGTGCTTCCTGAGTGTGGACTGACTGCCAGATGACTTGGAGCTTGACCAGCCTGTATCTGAATGAATGGGTGAGTGATTTGGTGTAAATTAGTGAGTGAATGGGTGGGTTAGTGTGTGAACAAACAGGTGAATGAGTGAGTGAACGGCTGAATAAATGAATGGATCAGTGAATGAGTGACAGCAATGAGTGAGGGGCTGAGTGGGTGAGTAGGTGAATGAATGAATGAATGGGTGACTGAGTGGGTGGGTTGTGAATGAATGGGTGCTTAGGAGCGAATGGACAAGCGGGTGAATGAACGGGCGAGTCCAGGAACAGTAGTCAGGGGAGTGGTGTGCAAATGAGTGTGCAAACGAGTGCATGAGTGGGTTGGTGAATGGGTGAATTAGTAAGTTAGTGTGCAAGAGTGAACGAGCGCATCAGTGGGTGTATGAGGCGAGTGTGCAAACGAGTGCATGAGTGGGTTGGTGAATGGGTGAATGAGTTAGTGTGCAAGAGTGAACGAGCGCATCAGTGGGTGTATGAGGCGAGTGTGCAAACGAGTGCATGAGTGGGTTGGTGAATGGGTGAATAAGTTAGTGTGCAAGAGTGAACGAGCGCATCAGTGGGTGTATGAGGCGAGTGTGCAAACGAGTGCATGAGTGGGTTGAATGGGTGAATGAGTAAATTAGTGTGCAAGAGTGAACGAGTGCATCAGTGGGTGTATGAGGTGAGTGTGCAAAGTGCATGAGTGGGTTGGTGAATGGGTGAATGAGTAAATTAGTGTGCAAGAGTGAACGAGCGCATCAGTGGGTGTGAGGCGACTGTGCAAACGAGTGCATGAGTGGGTTGAATGGGTGAATGAGTAAATTAGTGTGCAAGAGTGAACGAGTGCATCAGTGGGTGTATGAGGCGAGTGTGCAAAGTGCATGAGTGGGTTGGTGAATGGGTGAATGAGTAAATTAGTGTGCAAGAGTGAACGAGCGCATCAGTGGGTGTACGAGGCGAGTGTGCAAACGAGTGCATGAGTGGGTTGAATGGGTGAATGAGTAAATTAGTGTGCAAGAGTGAACGAGCGCATGTGGGTGTATGAGGCAAGTGTGCAAACGAGTGCATGAGTGGGTTGGTGAATGGGTGAATGAGTTAGTGTGCAAGAGTGAACGAGCACACCAGTGGGTGTGAGGCGAGTGTGCAAACAAGTGCATGAGTGGGTTGAATGGGTGAATGAGATTAGTGTGCAAATGAGTGTGAACGAGTGCATGTGTGTGAATGAGGTGTGCAAATGAGAACGAGTGCATGAACGGGTGTGTGAATGCATGAATGGGTGAATCGAGATGAGAGTGAATCAGCATGGGAATTCATGGGTGAACGAGTGGGTTAGTGTGAATGAATGGGCGAGTCCGAGAACAGGAGGATGAAAAGGGTAGGGAATTAGTGTGCAAATGAGGTGAATGAGTGTGGGTAAGCGAATGAGGTAAGAGTGCAACACGTGAGTTAGTGTGTGAATGAAGGAATGTTAGTGTGTGAATGAAGGAATGTTAGTGTGTGAAGGAATGTTAGTGTGTGAATGAATGTTAGTGTGAATGAATGTTAGTGTGTGAATGTTAGTGTGTGAATGAAGGAATGTTAGTGTGTGAATGAATGAATGTTAGTGTGTGAATGAATGTTAGTGTGTGAATGAATGTTAGTGTGCGAAGGAATGTTAGTGTGTGAATGAATGTTAGTGTGTGAAAGAAGGAATGTTAGTGTGTGAATGAAGGAATGTTAGTGTGTGAATGAGTTAGTGTGTGAATGAATTTTCATGTGTGAATGAAGGAATGTTAGTGTGTGAATAAATGTTAGTGTGTGAATGAATGAATGTTCATGTGTGAATGAATGTTAGTGTGTGAATGAAGGAATGAGTGGGTGACGGCTCCATCCAAGTTCTTGCTCCTTGGGAAGCACCCACTGAGGCTAGGAGGAAGCCGGTTTTTTGAGGTCCGAGGGAAGGGGACACCCAGGGGTCTCTGGCTGGGCCCTGGTCCCAGATGTGTGGGTGTCAGCGGGTCCCCAAACCTCCCTGCTGGAACTGGTGAGCACGTGGCCCTCCCACAGGACACCAGCCCCCCCCCGCCACACAGCTGGCCACGGATGCCTGCCTGCAGCCAGTACTCACCCATCAGGTCCGAGGATCACTCTCCTGTGGCCCGAGAGCCAGTGCAGGCCCCGACGCCCTCCTGTGCGGTGTCCCTTCCCTACTGCCATGCGCCAGGCTCACTGCAGACGACGCCCAGCAGCGTCACATACAACTTCATCGTGCACATGCCGTGTTGCATGTAAGCTTTGCTACAGCCATTTCAGAATGTTTTCACCCCGGAAAGAAACTCGTGCCCCTCAGGCCATCTCCCTCCACTCCGCCTGGCAAACCCTGGCACCCACCAGTGTACTCCCAGCCTCTGGGCCTGGCCTGTTCTGGCATTTCGCCTAAGTGGCATCCCACAGCGTGAGACCCCTTGTGTCCGGATTCCTCCCTTGAGTGTGAGGCTTCCAAGCCTGGCTTCTGGCTCTACCCACACCCCACAGCAGGCATGGCCACGTGGACTCGTCAGATTCTCAGACTGCGCCCACTCTGGCGACCGTGAACCTTGTGCACCCGTTCCCGAGGCCATGCCACACACTGGGAGCGGACCTGCTGGGGAAGGGGCGGCTCTGTGTCTCGCACTTTCGGGAACCACAGGCTCTTCCCACGCAGCTGCAACCCCACAGGAGGGCTCTGATTTCACATCGTCACCGCGATCCCCCACTGTTCGGGCTGTGGCCATCACAGGTGTGAGGTGGCATCTCATCGCGTGTCAGAGCATGTCAGCTCCGCTCATGGCGGACTCTGGTGCATCCACCGTGATTATAGATAGAATGGTCCCGCACGGTGGCTCACGCCCGTAATCACAGCACTTTGGAAGGCTGAGGTGGGCAAATGACTTGAGGCCACAGGTTCAAGACCAGCCTGGCCAACACGGTGAAACCCCACCTCTACTAAACTACAAAAATAAGCCAGGCGTGGTGGTGCATACCTGCGATCCCAGCTACTCAGGAGGCTGAGGCAGGAGAATTGCTTGAACCTGGAAGGCAGAAGCTGCAGCGAGCTGAGGTGGCACCACTGCACTCCAGCCTGGGCAACAGTGAGACTGTCGCAAACACAAATTACAGATTGGGGCGCTTCAACACACAACACTAGGAAGTTTGAGGGAAGGTCAGTTCCGTGCTGGTGACGTGATTTGGAAGCCCTCTTGTCCAATTCACAGGGTCACTCTTCAGCCACCTGAGCTGGCTATGGCGGGTCAGCCCTGACGCTCCTGCTAGAGAAGGGACAGCCAGTACATTTTCTCCAGTCGTCTAATTTTTATGCTGAACGAGACTCAAGATTCTTCAACAGACTCAGATTTCATAGGATTTTACTTTTCTACTAACAAAATCGTACAAAGGAACCTACAAAAGGAACATGGAATCAACTTTCAACGGCCGCAGTTACCAGTTACACGAGCTGACAAGGGAAAGGATGCCTGGCATTGCTGCGCACAGGGCAGAGCAGAGTGGAGCCCTCATGAGGCGTTTTGTGTGGAGGACTGAGTGGCCCTCAGAAGCGTCCCGCACGCACGGTTTTCCAGCCACCAACCAACGTTCAGAGGGCTGCTGCACCTCCAGCCTGCTCTCCGTCAGGTGCACGGACGCAGGACCTGCCGGCCCCACCCAGATGCAGAGGGCAGTTCTGCTGCTTAACTCAGGGCTGAGCCAAGACAGGCAGAGGCTGTGGGAATGCTGGGCCCTGCAGTGATGTCTCTACGGCAACGCCAGCCCCAGAGCAGAGCCTCAGAAACGCCTGGAAGCACACGTGCAGCCTCTGCCCTGCTCTGAACTTTGGCGATGGGGCCGATTCCCTCGGGAGACCGTGCAAGCCAGACACAGCCCAGGGCCTGGCCACCTGGGGCCTCTAGTACAGAAGCAGCCTCTTGATGGAAGGCCTCGTTACCATGGACTCCCTGGGTGTTTAAATAAATAAATAAGCCACACGGAAGGGGAGGCCCCAGTCAGTGCCACTGCCACAGCCTGCAGATGCAACCACAGCCTATAAAGCAGAAACTCAGCAGAAGTGAAGAGTGTGCTGGGACCTGGAAGGAATCTCTTTTCAGTGCCTCTGCTGCCTCCACGAAAGGCACAAGCCACAGCAGGGGATGCCTTGGAGTCAGCCGGACAGACCTGACGCCAGGCACCCCTGCTGCCCAAGGACCTCCCACGCAGAGGCCGTGTCCCCCTCTCTGGAGCGCCGGGATGGGGATGCCACGTGTGAGCCAGCTCAGAGGCTGAACCGTGCACTGTGCTCGTGGGGTGGAGTCCTGGCTGTCGTGGGCTGGGCGGGGAACTTGGCGTTCACTCCGCGTACACACCTGCGGCCCTGGGTTTCAGTGCATTCGCCTGCAGGAGGCGCTGACGGCAGCAGTGCCGTGAGCTGGGCCCTATCAGTGCTCATGAATGAAGTGGCTGGTTTTCTGAAGGCGGATGGAGACTCGGATGGCAGCAGACACAGCCTGGCGTGGCAGACACGGCTGGGGGCTCCTTCCTGGAGCGTAAGCCCCGAGGGACACACCGTATTCACCACACCCCCAACAGGTGGTCCAGCGCATTCCAGAAAAACCGAGTTCCCTTTGCAGACGGCCCCGGCCACGCCAGCTGGTCAAGTGTGGACCTGCCAAGCCCAGAGGCTCCCACACGAGGGTGATGCAGGCGTGGACAGCGTCCTCCAGCTTTGCTGTCTTGAGGTGCAGAAATACAAAAACAGCCAAGGAACAGAGGGACTCAGGCGACCAAGGCCCTGCAGGGAGCTGTGGCCAGGGCTGACGGTTTACCTTTATCACCAGGGACAGCTTCAGCTCCGGTGCTCTTCCAAGAATGCTCTGGATAGGGGAGAAATGCAACCTAACCACTGGGTAAGTCCAGCCAAGGAAAAGGACTTCCAGAAACCAAGAGCGGGCTCGCTGGCCTCTCATGACCTGCAAGAAGATCCAGCCACGTCCAGGTCACTCCTGCAGTGGCGTCCGCACTCGGACTCAAGGAAACCCTCCAGTAATGCCCTCGCTGGCCCAGCCTGGGGTTTAAGGCTGCTGAACAGGAGAGCCCTAGGTGGCGGGCCTAGAAACCTCAGAAGGAAGCCCCACGGCAGGCCAGGCGGCATCACTGGGGACAGGTGTGTCTGCCGTCTGTTTCCCTGGGCCGAGCCTGGGCGCAGGCTGCCCACGCCATCCTCCGTGCCCGCCCCAGCGTGCCGCGATGCTGCTGAGCCTTAGGAGTAGATGGTGATCACCTCCCGGCCGCCGCCCCTGACCAAGAGGACTCTGTTCAGCCCTTCGGTCAAGACCTCAAGAAACTCCATGTCTGCGGTCAGCAGAGTCAAGGCCACAGCTGATCTCACCTGGGCGTGTAGAGGTGGAACTGTGATGGGAGTGAGGTTTTACCCTCTTCTGGGTTAGCTGAGATTTGATTTGAGAATGCCAGAGCCAAGGTGAGAAATGGGTGGGGAGAAGAGAGGAAGGGGCAGGGCAGGGGAGAGAGGGGCCTGTGCTCGGGAAAGAGAGGGAGCTCCGTGGCCACAGGGAGGACCAGCAGAGACAGCGATGGAGCCACAGTGCAGACCCCTCCTGACAGGGATCCCCAGCCAGGTGACTGGGTCCTAGCTGGCCTACAGGTGACCTGGGCCACGGCTTCTGACCAGGATACATGGAGGACACGCCCTCACTGGCCCTGCACTCTGGGTGCCGCCCTAGCCGGGATGTGCCACATGTCGCCCTGTCTGTGCCAATACACCCAGATACACCATGGAGTCCGTCTTCCCAATAAAGCCCAAATTCCCAAAGCTTTGGCCAACCGAGGCCTTAAAGCCGAGAGCTGGGCTCCCTGCCTCCCATCGCCTTCGGGGCAGGGTGGGGCTGAGCCCAGGGAAGGTCCCAGGATGCACAGTCGCTGTGGGGGTGCATGACAGGGTGGGGGCCTCCCAGCCCCAGGGCAGCCCTGAACATCCGGTGACGGTGGGGTGGGGGCTGGCACTGCAGGCAGGCCCTCCCTCCCCACACCAATGCCACCACTGGCCCCAGAGCCCCTCTGCATCCCGGTCGCAGCTCCCAGGGCCTGGGGCTGAAGGAAAGGCATGAAGCCAGCCTCACTCACAGCACCAAAATCCCAGGCCTTGTCCAGAAGCTGCCGGGGACACCCGCATGCCCACATGCACACCATAGGAAAGGATACAGTTCTCATCCCCCTGCCGGTTTTTTGGGGGGCCCGGCATGTTGAGAAGGACCAGCTGCGCGTCCTGGGACTTGCTGAGGACAACGCCGTTGAGCTTCACGGCCGTGTGCATCCGCCTGACGTTGGACTGGTCCCTGGGGCGAGGGGGGTGGCACAGTCAGCAGGAGGTGGGCACGCCCCACGCTCCGGACACGAGTCTGGGCCGAGCCCTGATGAGCCTGCATTCACATGCCTTGGAAAGGGCCATGTGAGTCAGGGTCAGGCGGACTCTCCAACCCTGAAGGACAGAGGCAGCGGCTCTGCGAGAGGCGCTGACAGCAGCCGGGTGGGTGCTCAGCAGTGGGAAGCTTTGGCCTCCGGGCCCCTAGAGCTCAGCACACGAGGGCTGCCAAGCTTCAAAGGGCCACAGTCACACGACACAAACTGCAAGCGCTTCCTCAACTAGATCTACGTCTGCGAAGCTGGCGGAATGGAGGGGAAGCTACCTGGGTGTCCCGAGCGCCTGGTGCCTTTCAAAGGGACACACTTCTCTTGACATCCATGGCGTTCCCCCTGAGCCCCACGTTAGACACTGCCAAGCACAAACCCGTCAGGCTGAGCACATATGGTCTCCTCTCGGAGGGTCACACAGCTGGGTCCAAAGGGCCGGAAGCTCAGGGAGGAAAGGCCCACAGCTGCCCCCAGCCTGTGCAGCCATTGCTGCTGAAGCTCCCAGGCCTGTGACAGGCAAGGGCTGCTGAGAACTCAGCTGGAGGCACAGGTGCTCACAACGACCACTATTGTGGGCCTCTCCCGCAGCCCACCTTGCCCCTGCCTGGCCGAGGGCCAAAGGAAAAGCACTTCCACCGCGTGGCCGTCCAGACCCCGCCTTCCGTCCTCACTTCTACCTCATGGCCGTCCAGACCCTGCCTTCCAGCCTCACTGACAATGGGGCCCTGCTCGGGAACTGCCATGGCAGTCCACATCTCAAAGCGTCCCTGGTGGCCTGGGCCCGGCCACAGCCCCCCAGGAGGGTCCCCAGCCAAGGAGGTTTGGGGACACTGCAGACTCCCGCTGTGTAGGTATCAGGCCCTGTGGGACAGGGCTCATCTCCCTCCTCTACCCCACGGTCCCTCTGAGGCAGGCCCCTAAATGGCAGAACTGGCATTCCAGGAAGCTGCCTTGGGAAATCTGGCAGAGACCAGCCCTGGGAGCACTTGTGTTTCTGGTGGAAAAACCCGGACCCCGCCACGGTCTTAACTGTGGCCCCCCGGGGAGGTCAGCAGTGCCCCGGACACAGAGGGTGGGGCACACAGACAGAGGCCACCCATGCAAGGTCAGAGAGGCCCCGAGACGCCATCCGTCCAGGCTCACACCCTTTGATCCACATGACTCTTAAGCCAAATAAATCTGATCATAACCACCAATTTTCAGAAGGAACACAGGGAGGCCTTTCATCTTCTCTCCAGCTTGATTTAATTACAGATGGGGTCTCTGTCCACCGCACAGTCAAGGGGCTCTTGATACAGGGACTTGAAACGTTGGACTCAACTTCTGGGTAGACCACAATTACCAGTGTGTTTGTGGACAAAGAGCAACTCCAGGAAGTGAGGCCAGGCCAGGAGCAGGCGGTGGGTGGGGGCTGGGGGGTGGGTGGAGTGAGCGGCATGACCATGGCAGGGAGTGCTGGGGGGACAAGGGGGCCTTGTCCCCACTGCTGGGAGTGGTGTGCCAGGCACCATAGCAAGGACGACCAGTGGAGACACAGGCACAGATATGCCTGTATATGCCGATGTGTATATGCACACATGCAGACACACCGACACGTACACACACAGGCACGCAGTCACACTAATACACAAACGTGTGCAGACATGTGCACAGATGTGCCTGTACATGCTGATGTGTATACGCACACATGCAGACACACCGACACGTACACACAGGCACACGGTCACACTAATACACAAACGTGTGCAGACATGTGCACAGATATGCCTGTACATGCTGATGTGTATATGCACACATGCAGACACACCGACACGTACACACAGGCACACGGTCACACTAATACACAAACGTGTGCAGACATGTGCACAGATATGCCTGTATATGCCGATGTGTATACGCACACATGCAGACATGTGCACAGATATGCCTGTATATGCCGATGTGTATACGCACACATGCAGACATGTGCACAGATATGCCTGTATATGCCGATGTGTATACGCACACATGCAGACATGTGCACAGATATGCCTGTATATGCCGATGTGTATATGCACACATGCAGACACACCGACACGTACACACACAGGCACGCGGTCACACTAATACACAAACGTGTGCAGACATGTGCACAGATATGCCTGTATATGCCGATGTGTATACGCACACATGCAGACATGTGCACAGATATGCCTGTATATGCCGATGTGTATACGCACACATGCAGACATGTGCACAGATATGCCTGTATATGCCGATGTGTATACGCACACATGCAGACATGTGCACAGATATGCCTGTATATGCCGATGTGTATATGCACACATGCAGACACACCGACACGTACACACACAGGCACGCAGTCACACTAATACACAAACGTGTGCAGACATGTGCACAGATGTGCCTGTATATGCCGATGTGTATACGCACACATGCAGACACACCGACACGTACACACACAGGCACACAGTCACACTAATACACAAACGTGTGCAGACATGTGCACAGATATGCCTGTATATGCCGATGTGTATACGCACACATGCAGACACACCGACACATACACACAGGCACACGGTCACACTAATACACAAACGTGTGCAGACATGTGCACAGATGTGCCTGTATATGCCGATGTGTATACGCACACATGCAGACACACCAACACATACACACAGGCACGCGGTCACACTAATACACAAACGTGTGCAGACATGTGCACAGATGTGCCTGTACATGCTGATGTGTATACACACATGCAGACACACCGACACGTACACACACAGGCACACGGTCACACTAATACACAAACGTGTGCAGACATGTGCACAGATGTGCCTGTACATGCTGATGTGTATACACACATGCAGACACACCGACACGTACACACACAGGCACACGGTCACACTAATACACAAACGTGTGCAGACGTGCACAGATGTGCCTGTACATGCTGATGTGTATACGCACACATGCAGACACACCGACACGTACACACACAGGCACACAGTCACACTAATACACAAACGTGTGCAGACATGTGCACAGATGTGCCTGTACATGCTGATGTGTATACGCACACATGCAGACACACCAACACGTACACACACAGGCACGCGGTCACACTAATACACAAACGTGCAGACATGTGCACAGATGTGCCTGTACATGCTGATGTGTATACGCACACATGCAGACACACCGACACGTACACACAGGCACACGGTCACACTAATACACAAACGTGTGCAGACATGTGCACAGATGTGCCTGTACATGCTGATGTGTATACGCACACATGCAGACATGTGCACAGATATGCCTGTATATGCTGATGTGTATACGCACACATGCAGACACACTGACACGTACACACAGGCACACGGTCACACTAATACACAAACGTGTGCAGACATGTGCACAGATGTGCCTGTATATGCCGATGTGTATATGCACACATGCAGACACACCGACACGTACACACAGGCACACGGTCACACTAATACACAAACGTGTGCAGACATGTGCACAGATGTGCCTGTACATGCTGTGTATACGCACACATGCAGACACACCGACACGTACACACAGGCACACGGTCACACTAATACACAAACGTGTGCAGACATGTGCACAGATGTGCCTGTACATGCTGTGTATACGCACACATGCAGACACACCGACACGTACACACACAGGCACACGGTCACACTAATACACAAACGTGTGCAGACATGTGCACAGATATGCCTGTACATGCTGATGTGTATACGCACACATGCAGACACACCAACACGTACACACACAGGCACGCGGTCACACTAATACACAAACGTGTGCAGACATGTGCACAGATGTGCCTGTACATGCTGATGTGTATACGCACACATGCAGACACACCGACACGTACACACAGGCACACGGTCACACTAATACACAAACGTGTGCAGACATGTGCACAGATATGCCTGTATATGCCGATGTGTATACGCACACATGCAGACACACTGACACGTACACACACAGGCACACGGTCACACTAATACACAAACGTGTGCAGACATGTGCACAGATGTGCCTGTACATGCTGATGTGTATACACACACATGCAGACACACCGACACGTACACACACAGGCACACGGTCACACTAATACACAAACGTGTGCAGACGTGTGCACAGATGTGCCTGTATATGCCGATGTGTATACACACACATGCAGACACACCGACACGTACACACAGGCACACGGTCACACTAATACACAAACGTGTGCAGACATGTGCACAGATATGCCTGTATATGCCGATGTGTATACGCACACATGCAGACACACCGACACGTACACACACAGGCACACAGTCACACTAATACACAAACGTGTGCAGACATGTGCACAGATGTGCCTGTACATGCTGATGTGTATACGCACACATGCAGACACACCGACACGTACACACAGGCACGCGGTCACACTAATACACAAATGTGTGCAGACGTACAGTCACACTAATGTGCACACAAGTGTGTACAGACACTGTCAGACATGAATACGTGCACATGTGCAGACATGTACGCCCACGTACAGACAGGTATGCTGACATACGCCCACGTGCACAGACAGGTCTGTGTCCACCAGCAGGTGCGCTGACAGGTACATATGAGTGAACACACAGACATCCCTAAGTGTGCGCACAGGGACGCCACGGTAAGCCCTGCACGCCTCACGCCCGCACTGCCCAGGATAAGGTCAGGGCCTGACCTCCAAACATTCTGGGGCTTCTCCCAGCCAGGAGAGTCGGTCCTGTCCCAAACACAAAACCCACGTTGACACAAAGCCCACGCGTCATCCGTTCTGGCCCACCTTCTCCTGACCCTACAGGCTGGTGGGGACGGGGACTTGCCCCTGCCCCAGGCCTAGGTGGACACACAGGGCCATTGCAGCTGCTCTAGTGTGCTCACATGTGTGGGAGTGGGGTCAAACCCTGCTCCTGGGTCTAGGTCGACCTGAAGCTTTAATGAACATGCTATTCTGAAGGCACGTTTAGATTTACAGAACAGAGCAGCAAGCACAGGGGCTCCCTGCCTGCCTCCCACACAGGTGCACGGTTTCTGGTGTCTGATTAATTCAGGTTTCAGGGTTAAAGAGAAAAAGGAGGTGTGGCCACTCAGCTGGTGCGTTCCTCACTCAGGCCCCAGGCCCCTGCCCATGATGAAAACATGACCCAGGCAGCTACCGTGGGGGCAGGTAGGGGACAGAGCTGAGGACTCCTAGAGACCAAGCCTGGGGTCCGTCCAGGGTACTCCCTCCCACCTGCCCCAGAGCTCAGACACAGGTAGCTCCCACCCCAGGGCCTGACCACACAGAGAACTGCTCCACACCCTTCACCTGGAGACAGAAGGGTGACTCCCCAGGGTGGACGGCGTTAACGGGAAGCCATTCTGGGTGGGGACGCAACTCAGCCAGTACCCGACCCAGAAGGACGTGGACGCACTTGCTGACGGGTCCTGCCAGCACACGCCTCCCCTCCACGCAGGAGCGGCTTGGCCACCTCCCAGGTCTCAGTTCCTGGGCCTTACTGAGGAAGAGGCTTTAGGTGTGTGTCAGAGCCACTGTGAACAGAGGCAAGCAAAGGCAACAGGAAACAGACGTGGGAGCCGAGGCAGCACTGGGTAAGCTCTAGCTGCACACGGATGCATGTCAGTGAATGACGCCATGCAGGCATGCAGGGAAACTGAGGCCTGGAACACCCACACAGAGGCACCTGGGTCACGCACTCACGGACACATGCACGCCGCACCACACGGGCATGCAGGGAAACCGGGAGGCCTGGAACACCCACACAGACACACCTGGGCCACGCACACATGGACACACACGGGCCACACCACACGGGCATGCAGGGAAACTGGGAGGCCTGGCGCGCGCGTGTGCACACACACACACACACACACACACACAATGGGCCACACACACACTGGCATGCAGAGCCACTGGGAGGCCTGGAACACACACACGGGCCACACCACGAAGGCCATGCCACGCAGGCCACGCCACACAGGCATGCAGGGCCACCGGGAGGCGACCTGGTTGCAGTGAGTGGACTTACAGGTTTCCCCATTCTCTATGCAGGAGAGAAAAACAAAAGTGTGTTACTGACCTCAGGAGCGAGCACGGGGCCGTTCCAGGCATCACAGCTGCCCAAGAGAATGCCGCCTCGGCCCACCCCACAGGGCCCAGGAACCCCAGGCCTTCCTGAGAAGCAGGCTTTAGGCTCTGCCTTTGAGCCCAGGTGAGAGGTGTGTCTGGTGTTCTCACCCTGGGACTCTGCTGCCTCTGCAGAACCAGACCCACGCCCCTGAGGACCTCAGCCAGCCCTGGCAGGCAGCTCTGTTCTCTAACAGGCCCGCTGGCCTTTGGGGTTTCGGTGAAGCTCTTCAGTGGTCAGGGAAGAGACTCCATCCTCACTACCAGATCTGCCACCCCACCCTGCCCAGCCACAGGCACGGACACTCACGGCTTCATGCTGAAGAGGTCTTTGAACCCGGACAGGCTGGCATCTTTGTTCCTGTGCTTCTCGGCGATCAGCTTCTCCCTGGTCCAGGTCATCTGCACCTTGTCTGGAGTGGGCGGCGCCTGGGTCCTGGCCGCCGCTGTGGTGTGGGACGCGGTGTTCCTGTCATGGATCAGCTGGGCCTGGCAGACCCGGGACTCGGTGAGACCAGCTGGTCTCAAAACTCCCCTGGGCGAGAACGACCCGGGACGCCAGGCCAGAGGCAAGGCCGGCTCATACCACAGAACCAAAAGGGCCATGCGCGCCTGACCCTGGATGAGTCTGTCCTCCCACAAGGTCCCGAGCCCCACCCCCAAGGCTGCCTCCCTCCTCCAGGCCTCCAGACCAAACGTTCACTTCCTCTCCCCATCTCCGCCCATCACCTTCCCACTCTGGCCCTGAACTGGAGAAAGAGGCCCCACGGCCTGCGCTGACGTGAGGGGACACGTGCCGGGAGAGTCTCCTTGCTTGACGGGGCCCTGTGCATGCTGTGTTCGCCAGAGACCACCCACTCACCCACATGGCCAGCACACAGGTGTCCCTGCCTCACGGAGGCTCAGGGCAGGAGGGGGCCGTGCTGGGATCCCCTGGGAAGCAGGCTGTGTCTGATCAGCCAGGGGACACTCGGCTGACAGGGGGTCTGTGGGGTACTGCAGGGGCACCATTGGGGCCAATGACAGGGCTCGTCCCCTGTGGGTCACTTCTGACAACCTGAGGAAAATGTTACCACTGCTGGTTCAAGACCCTCCCTCCCCGTCACCGCCAGGTCAAACGAACAGCGCACCCCGGCTGGTCAGACCCTCCCGCAGCTTCCTCCCTCCCCGCAGCCTCCTCCCTCCCCGCAGCCTTCACGCCCTCTGTGCTGCTGTGCCCAGCCTGAAGGGTAGGGCCATTGGGAGCTCTGATTGTGGCTGGAGCCCTACCTGAGCTGGACACAGCCCAGGGAGCCGCTCGTCCCAGGGGCATCAGGAGTCTGGGAGCCCCGGGATGATTTTAAAAAGCCAAAGGCCCACGGTGATTTCACCAGACCAGGTTCATCCTCCCCCAGATGAAAATGTTTAAAGTGGGCGTCGGCCCTTCCCAAAAGGGAGGAGACTAACAGGGATGGGGGAGGGCCTGGGGCTGCCTCCCTCTCGGGACACGGACAGCGGCCCCCAGGCCGATACTCACTGTGGCTGGCCCTGCAGCCACCTCACAGCCTGGCCTGGCCTAAATTTCCTGTGGCCGTGAATGAAAAACCAGAGCCAAGGGGCCATCTGCTCTCCGAAGAGCCAGCGCTGCCCACTGCCCTGAGGGCCACGGTGTGAGGCACTGAGGGTTCCCGCCCGGCACCTGCACAGCAGGCCTCTGCAGAGCGGTGACACCTCCAGCCCCGCCCTGGCCCTGGCTGAACCCTTGCTAATTCAGGGCGACCCTGCTGACCCTCAGGGACTCGGCCTGGACAGAAACAGAGGACATGGGTCCTCCCAGACACTCCTGTGGAAGGAATCTGTCTGCAGACAAGCTGGGCATCGCCCTGGGTGCTGCGTCTGTGTCTGCCATAACCGGCCCGGGGTCTGAGAACAGGCAGGGCTGGGGCTCCATGAGCCTCTCTCTGTTGGGGGCGGGCAGTGGTCGCCACTTAGTGACTTTGAGTGATTCCAGCTGTCAGTGCACCAGCCCCACACACAGACCTGTGTACCGCGGGTTCTGGGTGAGGCTGAGGCCCCAGGGCAGGTGAATGCTCTGTCCCTGCTGCCGCCACTGTCACTGTAGTCTCAGAAAACCGTCACCTGCACCTGGTCTGCAGTCACAGACCTGTGTGTGCCGCCAGCCTGGTGGGACCCACGAGAGCCCATGAGGTCGTGATCTCACAGAGCTGAGAGTCCTGCCACAGGCCCCCGTACCTTCCTCAGCCACGAGGTGACCACAAAAAGGCCTGCCCTCACGTCTCACGGTGGCTGAGGGGCCCAGGCCCATGTGACTCAGGTGGATACACCTGCACGTCGTCAGCAACGGACAGTTACCACGGGGCCAAAGCTGCTGCAGCTGGGCGATGGCTATGTGGGTCTGCGTGGGGGGCCGGAGTCACCTCCCCCCAGCTCACTTCCCTCCCTCCCTGCGTTCATTCTCCGCTCCCACTGGGTTCTGGGCGGCACAGAATTTGCTGCGGGGCTCAGGGGTTTCAGGCGGAGGCAAAGCAGCCGTGGTAAGAAACCTTGGCTCAGGAGCTGCCGACCCCGTCAAGGGGCACAGCCTCGGGGAGAAGCCTGGGGACTGCCCGGCCCCCTCCCGTCTCCCGCCTGCATTGCTGCAGGCTTGGAAAAGCTACGTTTTTATTTTTTATTTTTTTTTAACTATAAGGTGTGTGGGGGTGTATTTTTTAGACAAGGGTGGCAGAACATAAAACAAGTGATATAATTTGTTGGAAGGCGTCAACGCGGCCCTGCTCTGCCCTGCCCTGCCTGGTATTGGAGATGGACAGGTGCCTGCAGTCCCTGGTAGAAGAGCTTCCTGGTACCTGCAAAGACTGTCACCTCTGTGTTCAATCCCTTCCTGCACGTGAGCGTGCGTCTGCCAGGCCGCCATTCCTCTAACCGGGCACCCGCGCGACCAGGCTCCCACGAGCTCTGCCTCTGATGCCACTGCTGTCTTCCTGCACAGCCTGTGCCACCCGCACTCGGGCTGGGGCTGAGACCATGACGCAGCGTGCTCTCCGGAGGACCCTCCCGACTGCAGCCTGGGAAGGCCTCGCCTTGGCCACGGCGGCCACGGTGCCCACGCCTCGCCTCGGCCACGGCGGCCACGGCGCCCACGCACCTCTCGCTCCTGCTCGTTCTTGGACAGCTGCATCTGCTTCAGCATCTGCGACCTCTGCTCCATCATCAGCGTCCTCTCGTAGGTGAAGGCAGAAATGTCATTTTCAACCTACAAAGTTCCCGAATAGGCAGTAAGCCTGGCGTGCACAGAATCACGGGTCGCCTCCACCACCACCCGGCTTCCAGAGGCTGAGCCGCGCTGAGCAGCGGGAGAGGCCAGGCGTCCAGGGCCCTGCAGGCCCCCGCCCCGTGGCTGGGAAGGTGTGAGCTCACGATGGGCGGTGACACTGCACAGATGCTCCGCTCACATCCCCCCCAGGACCCTCCAGCCGGGCACAGGGCAGGCTCGAGGACAAGACCACAGCCACAAACCAACCCGGCACGTGACTCTGGGTAAAGGACTGCCCTGTGGACCGCAGCGTCCACACTCACAGATGTTACTATCTGTGCTCAGGAGGGCTCGTCAGCACAGGAAACCCGCCCAGGACACACGGAAAAGCCACGGCACAACCTCAGCGCCTGCCATGCGGGACCCCTGGGTCTCACCCACTGCACCCAGCTCATGGAAATTTGGAGCCACTGTGCCCGTTAAGCACAAGCGTTTAAAACGGCACAGCAGATCCAGTGCAGCGGCTCATGCCTGTCATCTCAACACTTTGGGAGGCCAAGGAGGGCGGACCACTTGAGGTCAGAAGTTCGAGACCAGCCTGGCCATCATGGCGAAACCCCGTCTCTACTAAAAATACAAAAAGAACAAAGAAAAAAAAATTAGCCCATGTGGTGATGTACACCTGTAGTCTCTCAGCTACTCGGGAGGCTGAGGCAGGAGAATTGCCTGAACCCAGTAGGTGGTGGTTGCAGTGAGCTGAGATGACACCACTGCACTTCAGCCTGCGGGACAGAGTGAGACTCGGTCTCAAAAATTTAAAAATACCAGAATGACAGACTGAACGGCAGCGGCCCATGGGCCCCTCTCCAGCCAGGTGACACTTGTCCCTGGTGGCAGGGCCATGGAGAGGGGGAGCCCCAGCCCTGCCAGGAGACATGGCCAGGAGCGTGGGGGCACTGGGAGCTCCAGGTACCCTGGCACCACGGGGGAGCTGGGGGTGCTGGAGCCACAGGCTCACTTTGCCCGCTTCCTCTGGCCCCTGTGGCCGCCCGCCTGTCCTCCGGGCAGGGCTGTTCTCCCAGGCAGCATTTTGTTACTATTTCACTAGCAGTGTTGTGACTCGGAGATAACGTTAATCATACAACTATTAGAACCACTAATAACTCTACAGACTTGAAACCATAAAGCCTCGTGCAAACAAGAGAAGCTCCAGCCATCGTCCCCGAAGACATGGCCATGTGGAAACGAAGCCCAGTGTAGAAAACTGGGCAGAAAAAGACCCAGAGCAATGCATGCCCGCGCCCCTCGGCCTAGGAAAAGTCCCACAGGGCAAGAGGAAGAGCAGCCGCACAGGAAGACCGCGCTCCACGGGAGCTGACGCAGAAACACAGAAGCAGCTGCACCGGCCTCACTCACAGCCAGACAGAACCAGGTTCCAGAGCCCCAGGCTTGGGGGCTGGGAGCAAGCGCTCCGACCGTCAACCCGTCCTCCCCAGGTGTGAAGGATGGACAAGTCTCTGTCCAGGCCCTGCCTGCAGCTGACCGAAGGCCTGTCTGTCCTACGCGATGGCCGCACCCTGGCCTCACTCTGCCCTTTACCCCCAGTCCCAACTGCCGACGTGTGCTTTCCAGCTGTGGGACCATGAGCCTATCTGGGGAGAGCACCCAAGACGGGAGGTGCTCAGAGGTGCACTGCACCATGGTGAACGCCACCGAGACATGAGGTCGGGAATAGAACCCGGTCCTGGATGGACCCAGGCCAAGGAGGACACGGGACCACGGGGACATGGAGAGGTGGACGCCAGTTCCAGGGCAGCACCCACACCCAGGCCACTCGAGATGTCAACAAGGGACGTGCAGGGCTCTGTGCTTCCTGCAACGTCCTCGCGTTCCCAGGACCAAGCCTCCTCCACCACCCCACAAGGCCTGGCAGCCCCCGCCACAGTCGCCACCACTCTCTCCCCACCTCCTCCTCCACCTCCCAAGACCTACAGCCCTCCCCACCTCCCCCTCCATCTCCTGCCCTCAAGCCCTCAGGCCTCACCATCTCCACCACCTCCACCTCAGCGCTGATGCGCAGGTGGTACAGGAACATCTGCAGGTCCTTCTTCATCTGGATGCTGTTATCGTCCACCTGGGCCACCGTGAAGATACGCATCCGGCACTTCCTCCACACCTGGAGACGGAGTGGGCATGGCTACGGGGCCTGGGAGGAGCCCCTGCCTGCCCTGGCCCACGGCGCATCCCCATCCCTGTGCCCGCAGCATGCCCCACCTTATGCTGGCACAGCAGGAAGGGGAGCAGCATGAGCATGCCGCCGTCATGCACAATCCACCACACATCGATGTGGCCGCCGCTGAAGCGCTCCTGGTTTTGCGGGAATGCATCGATGTTCTTGGCCACCAGCAAAGCCTGGTGCGCGGCGGTGGTGTCTCGGACGGTGTCTGCAGAGAGAGGCACCCACCAGCAGGTCATCGGAGGCTGGGAGGAGGGAGAGGCCTGGGGGAACCATACGGCCTTCCCCTTGACTTTCCCAGCTGGTTCAGACATGAGACTTCTCAAGGTGAGGTGGGCGGGGTCCCCGCAGGGCTCCACCCTCCCTCCATCAGCTCCTCTGAAGTCCAGGCATAGACCCACAGCGGAGCTCGGCTGCTGGTCACCGCCCAGGACACCCCCGCCCCAGCGGGGCTCCAGGAGAATGGGAGGGAGGGCCTGGACGCTTTCAGATGGCCGCTGCCAGGGCTAAGAGCACACACACTCAGGCCCATCAGGACCTGACAGCACACAGGCCTGGGGCTGCTAGCCACACCTACCCACGAAGTTCTTCCAGGAGAAGGGGTTGTCCTCCTGCTTCCAGGACGCAGGCCAGGCCATGAGCACCGTGTTGTGCTTGAGGCCGCCCAGGCCGGCCGATTGGATGAGGTGGGACATGCCATCCCGCAGGCTGAACGAGACCACCAGCTGGCAGAAGCCCTTGGTCTTCTCCGCACTCATCAGGGACCGGATGTTCTGTGGGACACAGGACAGGTCAGTACCACAGCCTCCAAGCAGCAGCAACAGGGTGCGCAGACCCACACCCACCATGCACGGTGGGGAGGGCACCCCCACCATGGGCCCAGCAGGAGGGAAGGCTCCATGCTGTGCCACAGTGCTCCGGACTGCTGCACCCATGTGCGTGTATCCACACACCAGAGAGAAAGAGCAGGTGTGCCTGATGCCACGTGCAGGTGATGTGGAGACTGCTCTGGGCACATAGCACCAGGCAGTTCTTTGGGGGATCCACAGCGTCCCAGCCACACCTGCCACTTTATTTGGATGCTCTGGGCCAGGTTTATATACCTGGTGAGTCAGAAACACCCAAGAATGGATCAAATTAGCAACTCTTCAAAGGGAGACCGTGGGGTTCAGGATGAAGCGTCGTACGAGCAACATGGGGCCGGGGTCACTGGCGTGTACAGTGTCCTCCCAGGGGCATCTGACGAGGCCACAGCATGGAGCGGCTGGACTCCATGGGGCCTGCGAGGACTAAAGCCAAGCGCATGTGGACACGGGCCTCCCACCCCCGACCTTCGGGTGACCTCAGGCCCTGGAACCACAGCCCACCTGGTGGGTCTCAGCCTTGCGGGGTAGTGGAGGCCCCTTCCCGCCTGATTCTCCCTCTCGGAGCAAACGTGCCTCTCCGCGGAGGTCCTCTGCTGCGTTTTGGGGTAAGTGGTTCCTCACTTGCACACATCTACAGACAGGGCACTTCTGTCCATGACGGACCAGACCCCCACATTGCACTGCCTTCTGGTTTGGAGGCTTAGAGGATGATTTGAGATTTACGTGAGACTTGGGACTCACTCGGAGTGGGTCTGTGCCGGGTTGAGACTTCAGGGGACGCTGGGCTGGGGGGAACATGCTGTACCCAAGCAGCAGGTAGGAATTTCTCAGCCCAGAGCACAATCGCAGTGGGGCGCATGGTGGCCCCTGAAAAAAGGACACCCACATTCCGGCCCTGGGAACCTCAGAATGCGACCTTATTTGGGAAAACTCTTTGTGGATTTATTTTAGAGACCTGCAATGAAGCCATGACCTTGAGAGAGCATCCTGGGTCAGAGTGGGCCTGACGCCAACCACAGGCGGCCTTACAGGACAAAGCAGGAAGAGCCTCAGACGGAGGACAGGAGGCTGCATGGAGGCAGGCAGGGGCAGAGTGACTGACGTCCAGGGCCACCTGGGGCCCCAGGAGCTGGAGAGCGGACGCTCTTTGCTGTGAGCTATGTGGTCTGCATCCCGTCACAGCAGCCCCAGACCACTCAGGGAACGGAGCCACCACCCTGCCTCTTTTGCCAAGATTCTAGCAGCCCCTATGTCAGCCTGGCTGGTGTCCTCACCCTATACCCCAGCTCACCCTGGGGCTCCACCAGCCCTTCACACAAAAGAAAACAACACCCAATGTTCTCCCACAGCCCTGCTCCTCCTCGGGCACCCCGCCCTCACCCCGCTCTCTGGACACCTCCGCCTTCTGCCCAGCCACCCAGGGCCAGATTGGACAGGTGCAGAACTGGCAGATATGCTACTTTTGAGACTTTTGCTCAGGTCAGAAAAGGCGTGAACATGCTACCCCAAAGGGGCACCAGCCAGCGAGCAGAGGCAGGGGCAGAGACCCCAGAGAGGTGGGGGCCCCAGAGAGGCAGAGACCCCAGACAGGTGGGGAGCCCCAGAGAGGTGGGGGGCCCCAGAGAGGCAGAGACCCCAGAGAGGTGGGGGGCCCCAGAGAGGCAGAGACCCCAGAGAGGCAGAGACCCCAGAGAGGCGGGGGCCCCAGAGAGGCAGAGACCCCAGAGAGGCGGGGGCCACAGAGAGGCAGAGACCCCAGAGAGGCGGGGGCCACAGAGGCAGACCTCAGAGAGGCAGAGACTCCAGAGAAGCGGGGGCCCCAGAGAGGCAGAGATCAGCTGGAAGCAGAGGCTTTGGGGTGGACACAGTGAGCCTGGGCAGGAAGGTGCAGGGAAGCGCCCGTGTCAGGGGTCACATGGGAAGAAGGCAGGAAGCACAGCTGTCTCAGCAAAGGCCACACAGCGGCCCCTTTATGCGGCCGCTTCTCATCACTGTGAGACCCTCTGCAGGGTGATCCCAGCTCTGTTTCTATGCCCTCAACTGGCCGGAGACCAGGGCCCAGGGAAATGTCTACTTAGGATCAGCCGAGTTTGGACGCACCCACTCGAGGGGTCCTGAGGGTCTCAAGGTGCCGGTGCCACGTCATGGGGGCCACTTCCCACATGGCCTGTTGCTGTGCTCCCCCCACATGCTGACTCCCAGGAGTCAGAGCTGGGGATCTCTCTTATCCTCGGGCCTCTCCGCTGGGAAAACCACCTTGTAGGATTGCACGGCTTCAGGAGGACACGGCACTGCCCTGGCAGGAACTCAGTGCTGTGCTGGGGGACCCTGTGACCACTAGTCCCCACATAAGCCAGGCACACTAGCCAGAGGGCCTCCATGCAGACAGATCTCAGCCTGGAGAACAATGGGCCCTTTATGAGGCGGGGAGGCAAGGATATCAGCGGCTTCAGACCCCTTTCCACACCCCTCAGTGCCACACAGAACAGAGCAGGGAGGACGCATGAGCCTCCCCGGCAACTGGATGAGTCACGAAGCTGTGTGCTTTTAGAGAAATTTCTATGCTTTAAAAAGCCTTGCCCGGGCTGTGCACACTGAGTCACTGACCAGTAATCCCAGCACTTTGGGAGACCGAAACAGAGGGATCACTTGAGCTCAGGAGTTCAAAACCAGCCTGACCAACGTGGCAAAACCCTGTCTCTACTAAAAGTACAAAAATTACCCGGATATGGTGGCGGGCACCTGTAGTCCCAGCTACTCAGGAGGCTGAGGCAGGAGAATCGCTTGAACCCAGTAAGCCGAGGTTGCGGTGAGCCGAGATCGTGCCACTGCACACCAGCCTGAGCGACACAGCAAGACTCGGTTTCAAAAAATAAACAAAAAATTTAAAAATTAAAAATAAATTAATAAAAACTAGCCCAGATTTCTCTAATTTTACACTAACTTAGCTAGGATGGATGTGAGCATAGCTCCCTAGGGCAGCGCAGCCCCAGACAAAGCCCAGGGAAGGCAGGGCCTGCGGCTGCCTCCGGCCCTCAACAATGCAGCTGAGTCACAGCCAAAGACTCCCTGAGAGCAGCGGGGGCAGCGGGGGCAGCAAGGGCTCAGTCTCCCATCCTAGAGAGCGGGCTCCTGACTGAGGTTGCCTTCAGCCCCAGCTGAAGGGCTCTTGGATGGAGATGACCTGGCTGTGAGCTGCGTTAGATGTGAGTGGAGAGTGAGGCTGGCTTTTTCCGTGGCAGTGATGACTGTGGCAGAGCGCGGCAGAGGGTCCTGCCGTCCCCCCAGCTACCACAATCAATGCCTGCCCTGTCCCTCATATGCATAAACACGCCCTTACATGCCGCCAAGGAGAACAGATGGTGCCCGGACTCTTAGAACCCACACCAACTCCAGGATACCTCCTGAGAGGACCCCAACATGGGATAAGATACACGGAAAGGGACATATGGGTGCCAGGACTGTGAACATCCTCCTGAAAACCAAGATGCCTAAATGCACAGGTTCATAGTCAGTAGCAGCCAATGCCCGAACCCGTGGTGAGGCATGACACCGCCATCAGGGAGAGAAAAGGCCCAGTGGATCTCCGGTCTTCCCTGGAGAAGCTAACCTGTGGAGCAGCCCAGAGAGAGCTTGGCCATCCACGTGGCCTAGGTTGCGGGAGGAGAGGGGCAGGCTGCCATTTCCCACCTCTGTGGGATCCTGGCCCCAGGCCACTGCCATCTGACACTGCTACCGTCCCCTCAAGTGGCACTTCCACCCCCAACCTGAGCGGCCTGGATCTAAAGGACCTGAGTGTGGCTGTGGCTGTGTAAACAGAGAGCAGGACCGGCCAAAGATGCCTGGGTGCACCTACAGGACCCAGGAGGAGCCTGCAGCAGGGAGCCGGCTCCCAACCCACGCGGAGGGCGGAGGGTGGAGGGCGGAGGGTGGACGGCGGAGGGCACCCGCATGGGAGGGACCTCGACTCCCACACAGAAGGAGGAAGGCTGGCCGATGATGGCACCCAGCACTCCCCCATCCCTCCCCACAGAGTTCTGAGAAATTTGGCGGCACACGGGCATCACGGTCACGCGGCCCCGAGTGAGCTTTAACAGTGGAACCATCACTGCGGCTCTGGACGGGGATCGGCTCGCCAGTGTGGGGAGCAGGCAGTTCCAGGGTTTACCCCTGGAAAGCTACGATACTCACTGCCCCCTCCCAAGCTTTCCGCGATGCTGCTGGCGCCCCTAGGCTTCAGTGCGCTGCCCGCCCTCCCACCCTCCTTCCTCAGTTCTGCACGCCTGCTTACTGTGAGCTTAAGGCCACCACCATGGCTGAGACGCAACAGTGACACGCCCAGGTGGGAAAAGGGCTCAGCCCCCAGCCCCGCCCCGCCCACCCACTCAGCCCGCCCCGCCGAGGCCCCGCCCACCCCCTCAGCCAGCCCCACCACACCGTGGTCCCTCTCACCTCCTCCGCCTGCTCAGCCTCCAAGTGCTTGTCCAGGTATGTCCCCTCCAGTACCGAGCCCACAATGGTCAGGCCCTTGCCAGCCTTCAGCTGTGACGTGAAGGACAGCAGGCGAGGGTGCTTCACAGCCTGCTCCGTGTCCAGGTTCAGCATCACCAGCACCTGGGGCCTGCAGCGGGGGTGGGGCAGCTGTTACCACAGAGATGCTCACTGGTACATGGCCCATCGACAGGCAGGACAAGACAGGTAACACAGGCAGGGGGGGTGACACAGGACAGGTGGCAGGCAGGATGGAGGAAACAGGTGAGACAGGTGACAGAACAGGAAGGATGGGGGAAACGGCAGGTGAGACAGGTGGGATGGGTGACACATGACAGGTGAGACAGGCAGGATGGGTGATAGGTTAGACAGGCGAGGGTGACACAACAGGTGACAGAAAGGACAGGTGAGACTGGCGGGATGGGGGAGAGATGTGACAGGATAAGCTGAACAGGTGACAGGTGAGACAGGGCAGATGGGGCTGGCTCCCCATGCCCCCACCCACAGCAGGAACACCCCCACCCTACAGCAGGTCACCCCCGATGCTCCAAGGCCCCCAACTGTGCAATTTGCTCTGCACTGGGCAGTGTTCACACTCCAGACCTTGACCGAGCATCTGAAGTCAAGAGGCTGGAGGCTCAAAGATCCCCAAAGGCCGACCTCAAAAACGGCTCTCCTGTGCCTGTGTGGGACACGGGCCAAGGGTGGTGCTCACCTCCAGTTCTTGGTGTGGGGGGGACCATGCTCCACGCGCAGTAGCGCATAGCGGGCAGCATTCAGGGACAGGCCACGGATGCCATCACCCCACTCCTTCTCAGCCCTGTGGGAAAGAAGTAGGGGCTTGTCCAGCCACATGCCTAGGAAAGAGGGGACTTCTGAGGGCAGGGGAGTCAGGGGCAAACAGCACCCCCAGAAAAAGCCCCTGGATGAGGAGGGAGGCCTCCGTGCCCACCCCTGCCCTCGAGCAAGCCCGTCCCAGGAGCCACCAGGACAAAGAGGGCACCATGGCTTTGGAGGGAAGGAGGTCTACTGCAGACCAGCCTGTGTGAGGTGTCTTCCTTGCAGGGTGGGGGGCAGGAGGCCCATGACAGGGAAGTGGCTGGACCCCGGGAATGAGGCAGGCACAGGTGGAGGGAGGGAAGGCACCAGGGCACAAGGGTGCCCATGGCTGCCGAGTGGGTATAGACACAACCTGGGGACACTATGAGAGACCCGTGGCGGGAATAGTCAGCCATGGGCTCACCGCCTGCTGAGGATGGCACAAGGCAGAGCTCCAGGACAGAGACCCCGTCCACAAGTGCAGGCACCTTGGCCTGGCTGGAGGCAGGAGGGAGGCCTGGGCTTTCACAGCACAGCCCACCTGGATATGCCCCTGGCTGCCTCCAGGAGGGCACAGGATGCTCGGACCCCAGGGAGTACTCTCCATGGAACTGCCCTGGGCGTAGTGTGAGAGGGTCGGTGAGGGGCTGGCGGCACTTACCCACGGTACTCGATGTACTTGTAGATGCAGCTGGCGATGAGCATGGCAGAGAGCGCATAGTACCAGGAACAGATGAACATCAGCGCCAGGCACAGGCTCATGCCCAGGAAGGACAGGGTCCTGGGGGGCAGGCGGTTTAGGGGAGCCTGACGCCACTCAGCGCCCACACCCCAGCCACCGCCACACAGACTGCCCCTCCCTCAGTGAAACGCTCTTTCTGTCAGCGCAAGGAAAATAGTCGCTGACGCCTGACGACCAGGCCTGCACCCAACCACCTCAGAGGGGTGAGTCGGCTCTCCCCTACAGGAGCTGCCACTGCAGGACGTGGTGGACGCTGCTCCCGCTCCCAGTGTGCACGCAGCACCTGGGCTGTGCAGGCAACGCCATGGCTCCAGTCACCCAGCTCCTGGTTCCTGGGGAGGGGATTAAGGAGCCCACAGCCCTGACGGGCTACACCCTGCGCCTAGGAGGACCAGGCTGACCATGGCCGGGACAAGGAGCACACGGACACCTGGGCATCCACGTAACCAAAGGCCTTTGTCAGGTGCAGAGGCAGACAGACCGCAGTCCCACTGGCTGCATAGGGGTTCGCCCTGCAAAGGAATGGTCAAGGACCCGCCTGGGGTCTTCAGGCCCAGGGCAGCTGGCCTTGCAGGGGCACCAAATGTCCCAGCCTGTGGGGTCCCCGATACCCGTGGCTGAGCAGCCTCACCAGTGGTAGTACTTGAAGCGGGGCCGCCAGTTGGGGGTGCGCAGCAGTGTCTGCACAGCGCAGGCCAGGTTCACGAACAGGTAGCACATGAGGAAGAACCTGCAGGGGCAGCCAGCTGCTGACACAGGCTGCTGGGCCCCACCTGAGCCCCCCGTCACGGCCACCTGGGAGTCCACCCTTGTCACTGTCCCTCCCACCTGCACCCAACCTGGCCCCCATGGCTGTCTCTGCACATGAGAGGATTCAGACACCCACACAGCTCTGTCCAGTGACACCGTCCCCAACTAACCCAGCAGGTGTCCCCCGGAGGCATGTACCTGCCTTCCCTGGCCTTGAACTCCCTTCCCGGCTGGATCCGGACTGCCCGCAGCCAGCCCTGCCTGTTCACTGCTTGTCCTGAGCAGGGCCTCCTGGCCACACTGCACCACACTCCAGGCCCGTATACCCATCCCCAGGTCCCTCTACTACGGGGACTCACATGGAGAGGATCGGGGCCACGCTGTCCAGGGAGGCAATGAGGATGCCAGTCTCGCAGATGAGGACCGTCAGCAGCAGCGCCCATGTGGGCTCCCCGTTGGCCTTCCCATGGCCAAACACCTGCCGGGAGAAGGGCAGGAAGATGGGGCGGATGGGGCAGGAAACGCCACCCTTTTAGGAGAAAAGCTGCAGGCTGGTCGGGTCCAGCCCACAGGAGTCTTACAGACATACACCAGCAGAAACGTCTTTCACAAGAGGTCCTGGGACATCACCCAGCTGACCCGAGAAGAAGCCCTAACAAAGGCTGTGTCTACACCTGGCTGTGCTTGCAACCTGTGTTGCCCAGGCCGCCCCCACCCGCCTCAGTTTCCGCAACCGCTGAGCCCTAGGCCCGTCTGGGACTGACAAGATGCAACCACACAGAAATGTTCTAGCACTTTCCAAACAGCTGGCACCCTGCGGGCTGGCACCGTGCAGAGGTCACAGGCCAGCAACAAGTGAGGACAGCTCTGCAGCCCGTAACTTTTCCTACGATGGGGACGTCTCTGCCATCCACCAGCTTCCGTCTCTGCCATCCACCAGCTTCCGTCTCTCTCTGCCATCCACCAGCTTCCGTCTCCTCTGCCATCCACCAGCTTCCGTCTCTGCCATCCACCAGCTTCCGTCTCTCTCTGCCATCCACCAGCTTCCGTCTCTCCCATCCACCAGCTTCCGTCTCCTCTGCCATCCACCAGCTTCCATCTCCTCTGCCATCCACCAGCTTCCGTCTCTGCCATCCACCAGCTTCCGTCTCTGCCATCCACCAGCTTCTGTCTCTCTGCCATCCACCAGCTTCCGTCTCTCTCTGCCATCCGCCAGCTTTCGTCTCTCTGCCATCCGCCAGCTTCCGTCTCTCTGCCATCCACCAGCTTCCGTCTCTGCCATCCACCAGCTTCCGTCTCTCTCTGCCATCCACCAGCTTCCGTCTCTCTCTGCCATCCACCAGCTTCCGTCTCTCTCTGCCATCCACCAGCTTCCGTCTCTCTCTGCCATCCACCAGCTTCCGTCTCTCTCTGCCATCCACCAGCTTCCGTCTCTCTCTGCCATCCACCAGCTTCCGTCTCTCTCTGCCATCCACCAGCTTCCGTCTCTCTCTGCCATCCACCAGCTTCCGTCTCTGCCATCCACCAGCTTCCGTCTCTGCCATCCACCAGCTTCCGTCTCAGCCATCCACCAGCTTCCGTCTCTGCCATCCACCAGCTTCCCCGAGGAGGTCACAGGCCAGCAATGGGCAGGAACCGCTCTGCCATCCACCAGCTTCCCCGAGGAGGTCACAGGCCAGCGATGGGCGGGAACCGCTCTGCCATCCACCAGCTTCCCCGAGAAGGTCACAGGCCAGCGATGGGCGGGGACGGCTCTGCCATCCACCAGCTTCCCCGAGAAGGTCACAGGCCAGCGATGGGCGGGAACCGCTCTGCCATCCACCAGCTTCCCCAAGAAGGTCACAGGCCAGCGATGGGCGGGGACATCTCTGCCATCCACCAGCTTCCCCGAGAAGGTCACAGGCCAGTGATGGGCGGGGACGTCTCTGCCATCCACCAGCTTCCCCGAGGAGGTCACAGGCCAGCGATGGGCGGGGACGTCTCTGCCATCCACAACCTTCCCCGAGGGGGTCACAGGCCAGTGATGGATGGGGACAATGGCTTGCCATCCACAACCTTCCCAGTTATCCTGGGCCCGAGTAGCAGGAGAAGCAACAGTCAGCAGCTCTGGACACACAGACGGGACCCATGCAGGCGTCTCTCCAATCCTCAGAACAGCCACACACATGGGGCCGAAGGCTGGTGACCCCGCCTCCCAGGAGCTGAAGAGCTCAGCCACACAGAGAAAGGGGGAGGCAGGCAGGGGCCTCTAGCCAGACAGCAGACTAGGCACCTCCAGATTCCAGGCTGTGGCGCCTCACAGCCGCTCCTGACACCCCTAAGGCTGCACTCCGAGGGAGCTGCAGGTGGGAGGGCTGGAGCTACCTCTGCCCACTGCCCACCGCCCATCGCCCACTGCAAGCCACCTGCCACCCGTCCCTCACTGCCCACCGCCTGCTGCTCACTGCTTACCACTCACCACCCATCACCCACTGCCCACCATCCACCACCCGCCGCCTGCCCCTCACCACCCAAGCCTGCCACCCACTGCTCACTGCTCGTCGCTTACCACCTGCCACCCACCACCTGCTGCCCACCCCTCAGTGCCCGCCGCCCACCACCCACATGCTCAGCACAGCAGGCAAGGGAAAAACGACCACCATGAGCTCCAAGTTGCAGGTATGCGTCCCACACACAGTACTGTGAGGGTCCCGCAGGGGAGCAGAGCCCCTGGTCTTCCGGGCTTGCGTCCCCCAGGGCGCCGGGCTCACCTGCAGGAAGGGGATGATGCCGTCTCGGGCAATGGCTTGCAGCAGGCGCGGTGCCCCCGTGAGGCTCTGCAAGCCGGCCCCGCAGGTGGAGAAGAAGGAGCCAATGACGATGACCCAGGGCGAGGGCCAGGCCAGCATGCCGATGACCAGGTTCCCCTGCAGGGCCTCCCCGAACCTGCGGGCGGGCGGGTGGCTTTCAGAAATGAGCCCAAGTCAGACAAAATGTTTTCCCCACCCAGAGCACGAGGCCCAGCACGGGGCGGGGGTGACTCCTTGGAAAGCTGAGGCCCGGCCTCCAGCCCCTGTTGGCCGACGACCCCACCAGGCTCTGCCTGGCATGGCCAGAATGCCCTGGAGTGTCTCCAGCAGGGGAGGGTCCAGCTCCCCTCGGGGTCGATCTCGGGAGCAGGGAAGACCCAGCCTGGCATCAGCTTCAGTCAGGGACCATCAGGGACCATCAGGGACCATCTGGGACCATCAGGGAGCATCTGGGACCATCTGGGTCCTTGGGGTTGCCAGACAGCACACCCCACAAGGATGCAGGCTCAGCGAGGGCCTACCTGGGGACCCCACTACTTCTCCACTTGGCAGCCGGGCTAGGGGGTTCTCCCAGGGCCAAGCCTCAGCCATCCACACCCCTCTGGCCTCCCCAGGAAGGGCCTGTGCCCCCAGCTGCATCAGGCGTAGAGTTTGCTCTAAGGGTCCCCCAGTTCGTGGCTCCAGTGGAAGAGACGACGGTAGCACCTCAGACAGACAGAGGGGAGCCTGATCCTCGGACCAGGATGGCTTCAGGTCTGCACATGGGCATGAAGTCCCAGGGCAATGTGATTTCAAAGCCAAAATTGTCCTCAGGAAAACGCATGAGGACACAGACTCTGCTGGGACACTGCAGAGGGAAACGTACTTATCTCGTAGGACCACGCCTTCGATGCAGGCCCCAAAAAGCACGATGCAGGAGAGATCTATGGCTCTTGTCAAGGAAGGAAGGGTCCGCAGGTGCGGGAAGCACAGCCAGCCAGGGGCCTCAGCGGGGCATGTAGGTGGGGAGACATGCTGGCCAGCAGGCCCCAGGCTCCAGGTGGGGTGGACCACCCTGCACCCCGTCCCGTCCCATCCTCGGCACAGCCTGTCCCCACATCCTCAGCGCACCCTCCCCAGGCTCTGTCTAGTGTCACAGAATGGGACCCTGGGGTGGAGGAGACACACCTGGCCCGTGTTTGACCGAAAGGGATGGGCAGGGGACCTTGCTGAGGGAACAAAGCTCAACTGTAAAGAGGGGGCGTCGGGATTGAGAAGCCAGAGGCCCCTCCGGCCCAGCCTGCTGGCAGCACACACCATACCACGACTGGGCATCACTGTGGCACACACAGCAGGGTGACTGCTTCTGTTTTACCTACGATCATATCCCACAGTGGCGAAGAAGCTGGGCTGCTGATGGTAGCTGGTGGCTAAGGGCGCAGAGCTAAGCCGGGAGGGCATGGGGGCCTCTCCCCAGGCAGAGGCCAGAACCCGTGCCTCCCTCACCTGCACCCCTCCAAGGATACAGATGAAAGACGTGGTCACTATGGCCAGGATGGTCCCCGTGGGGATGGACTTCTGTGCATCCCTGAGGTCCCCGGACCGGTTGGAACCCGCCATGATACCTGCAGACATGGAAAACACTGCCAGGACCCATCTGAGGAGTCAGCAGCACGTGACGGTGGCCCCGGCCCAGAGAGCCAGACAGGCAGTCTCTGCGGAGACCCTGAGGGTGAGCTGCACCAAGGACTGCAGTCCAAGCCCTACCAGCCCCTACTGAAGGACTGCAGCTGGGGGGACGCAGGCCAAGGCACGCGGACGAGCCCCACGTGTACCGCTGCCCCTACACAGTCACGGGTAAACCAGATGATTCCTCGATCCCAAGACAAGCAAGGCCCAGCCCTGACACTGACCCCCCACGGACCCCAAACCCAGGGGTCCTCTGGGGCCTGCGTCAATCCCACGGCCAAGGGTCAGCCTGGGACGGTGCTGAGCAATGACTCTCAGGCTCTCGGGGACCCAAGACTTTCTGAATGCAACCCTAGGATGGCTCAGAGCCAGGACAGCCGGGCCGACAGACGTCTCAGAGCCGGGCCAGCCGGGCCAGCCGGGCCAGCCGGGCTGACGGACATCCCAGAGCCAGGCCAGCCGGGCCAGCCGGGCCGACGGACGTCGTGGCCCCTCCTGCTGCAGCTCCGCGTGGACATCACCTCGCTCTAGGGAGCCCCGGCTGGGTGAGGTTCCGTACAGTCAGCTCCCATAGAGCTCAGGGAAGCCGGATCAGAGGGGGCCGTTGACGCCTGGCTCAGTCCCATCTAAGGTGCAACCTGAAGCACCCATGCTTAGGGTGGTCCTGGAGGTGCAGAGCACACAGCCCCAGTGCCCCAGTGCCCCAGACCACAGAATCGAAGCCACACAGAGGCCCTGCCCCCATTCCCTCCACCCATGGTGCTGAGCACAAGCAGACAGGGGAGGCAGGAGGGGAGGAACAAGGAAAGGACCCCGGGCTGATCACCGCCTCCCTAGCAAGATGGGCCCACCTTCGGGGTAGGTGAAGGAAAGGAGACGCCAGCCATGGCCAGGCCCTGCGGCTGACCCTGGGCTCCAGGGCTTTGGAATGCGCTGAGATAAAGTCCAGGAGCAGACGTGGGAGGGACCGGAAGGGAAGCTGCAGGCCACACAGGCAGGATCAGAGGGGTCCTGATAGGACGGCCAAGTGCAGGCAGCTGGGGGCGTGTGTGTGTGCACCTGGGAGCGCAAGGGCCCCACCCTCCTCGGGAACAAGGCCACTGTTTGATGAGGACACGAGGGGCTGAGGTACCCGGCCTCTGACCTAGTGCAGGCAGCTGGGGGCGTGTGTGTGTGTGCACCTGGGAGCGCAAGGGCCCCACACTCCTCGGGAACAAGGCCACTGTTTGATGAGGACATGAGGGGCTGAGGTACCCGGCCTCTGACCTAGTGCAGGCAGCTGGGGGCGTGTGTGTGTGCACCTGGGAGCGCAAGGGCCCCACCCTCCTCGGGAACAAGGCCACTGTTTGATGAGGACACGAGGGGCTGAGGTACCTGGCCTCTGACCTCACTGATGCCACTACCGGGCATCTCCTAACAGTGCGCCAGGCATCCTCACCAACCCTAGAACAGCTTCTCCCAACACAGGCCTGCCCGGGACAGAGCGGACAGATTCTCACAAATCAACCAGAACACAGGGCAGAGACCTCAGCTGCTCCCCTGAGCCAGACAAACAAGAAAAGCAAAGGCAGGAAGGAGCGTGAGAAGGAGAGAAGAGAGAAATGGGGTGGGGGGAGAGATAGAGAGTGCAGCGGGAGAGAATGACAGAGACAGAGAGGGACAGAGAGAGTCAGAGAAAGAGAAAGATGGAGAGAGGCCGGGCGAGATGGCTCCAGACACCTGTAATCCCAGGACTTTGGGAGGCTAAGGATTGCTTGAGCTCAGGACTGAGACCAGCCAGAGCACACAGGGAGACCCCCCCCCCCGACCAAAAATACAGACATTAGCTGAGCATGGTGTCATGCGCCTGGGGCCCCAGCTGCTTGGGAGACTCAGGTGGGAGGGCTGTGTGTGTCCAGGAGGTCGAGGCTGCAGTGAGCCGTGATCCAGCCTGGGTGACAGAACAAGATCTCGTCTCAAAAACAGAGAGGAGACGGTGGGTGCGGCGGGCTCACCAGTCACGGAAGGGAAGTAGATGCCGACCAGCAGGGTGAAGGAGGCTGCGATGTCCGTGAGCACGTAGGGCAGGGCGCCAGCGCGGCTCTCCTCTGCCACGGGCACCGAGGGCACGCCTTCCTTCTCCACAAACGCCCCCGCCTGTGCATACGCGCTCCACAGGTTCTCTGCCGAGCAAGGAAGATCCATGGGTTTCTGGCACCTTCCACCCACTCCCTGGCAGGTGCCACGGGTGCCTGGAGGGAAGGCTCACAGCTTGCACCCTCCAGGCAGGCTGCTAGTCAAACAAGGACCCCAGTGGTTGAGACGGTGCCTCTGGGAAAGCTACCTGAGTCTATGGAGGGGACGTCAGCACTCAAGAGAAGCCTCACGTGCAGAACACCGTATTCCCGGAAAGCCCAGGCTTCCTGCCTCGGGTTCCGAAGCAGGTCCCATGGACCCTCCCATAACCCCCTGGGGCAGGCCCAAGGCAGCTCCTCATCAGGGAAGACGCAGAGGGGGACGTTACCGCCCATCACCACTCCGTTACTAACAAGGCAAACTCCCCACAGGCTGCCAGGAGGCCAGGAAAATAATCCACAGCTTTAAGAGCCGCTTGCTGGCCATGACAGAGCCGCCTCCCCACCACACCACGTTTGCCTTCTATGGCCTGCAAGGGGTGTACACGGGAAATCCAGGGCATGACCCCCAGGCTCATCAGTAGCAGCTGAGGAGGGGCTTGGCTAGGAGGAACTGGGGCCCTGGGAGTGACCCTAAGGCAACAGCGCCCACCACAGCCAGTGCCCACTGCCCCCGCCGCCCCCCAGTCCCCCCAGCCCCCACTGCCGCCCTGTGGGCCTCACCCAGAAAGACGCCGCTGGCCGCACCGGGGATGCCCTGGATTTCGGTGACGTTGTTCTGGGTGAAGTACTCGTCACAGGTGGCGCTAGGCAGGGAGCCGTTGCAGAAGAGGCCCCAGAGTGCAGAGGTGGCCGAGCCGTTTTGGACGACCCGGGCCTTGATACAGACATCGAAGCTGCGCCGTGACAGTGTGCGGTTCCCCAGGAGGCAGACCCTGGGGCAGACAGTGAGGCGTGCACGGTGCTGCTGCCGAGGTGGCTTGTACTGCCTCACCCAGTTCCCTCAACAGGCGTCCCCGGCATTGCCCGCAAGCGGCTCCTGGCACCCTGCACCTCCCAAGACAGGAACAGCCGCAGGTCACGCCAGGGACTGGGGCCAGGCTGCAGCGGGAATGCCGCATGGTGCAGCCGTCGCCTGCATCCAGGGTTCGGCCAACCACAGGGTCCAAACGTGCTGAATTAAACGTTCCAGACACAAGCAATTCACAAGGTTTCCACCACGCGGGTCTGAGTAGTCAGGTGGTACCGGGAGAAACCACCCCCGCCCCACAGCCACGCTGCCACCGCTCCCGTCTGATGCTCTCGGCAGCGTCCTGGCCCACTGTCCAACCTCACTGCTTGTGTTCAAGCCACCTTGTACCACTTCCCCATGGCCTGGAGCTCAGGAGCATTGCACCCAAAGTGTAAAACAGGCCTGCATGTGGAAAACAGCCTGCACAGGGCCGGCCCTGCACGTGGAAAACAGCCTGCACGTGGGAAACAGCCTGCATGGGGCCGGCCCTACACGTGGGAAACAGCCTGCACGTGGGAAACAGCCTGCACGGGGCCGGCCCTGCACGTGGGAAACAGTCTACACGGGGTCGGCCCTGCACGTGGGAAACAGTCTACACTGGGCCGGGCCTGCACGTGGAAAACAGTCTGCACGGGGCCGGCCCTGCACGTGGGAAACAGTCTACACGGGGCCGGGCCTGCACGTGGAAAACAGTCTACACGGGGCCGGGCCTGCACGTGGGAAACAGTCTACATGGGGCCAGTGTGGAGAACAGCCTGCACGGGGTTGGTGCAGCTGTGGTTTCAGGAAGGGGGTCGGTCAGGAGAGGCTCAGAACGGGTCCTCGAGAAGAAGGGCAGCTCGACGTCGCTGAACAGGCTCGTGGGGTTGAGGCCGTTCAGCCTCCCTCTGTTTTGAGGTCTCTATGAGGCTGTTCCCTCAGGGGCTCCCTCCACGCAGAGACGGCAAAACCCAGGATCCTCGAGGGGTTTGGCTGCCCAGACCCTTCTGGACCTGCTCCCTGGGGACTCTGATGGTCAATCCCATGTTCCAGGACCCTGGGCCACCTCCCAGCCCCCCAGCTCCTCCTCCAAGAGGACAAAAGAACCCCTCCAGCACCTCTGGGAGGGAGGAGGGAGCTGGGCCCAGGTAGTGGCTGGGGTCACCGCCATGACACTCAGGGCCGCCTGACCGTGCTGAGGGCTGCCAGCCACCCCTGAAACCTGCCAGGCCCCTCACCCACCCTCCTACCACTCAGGAGGAGCATCTTCAAGCTCAGACCCAGCCACAAGGGTGCCTCAGCTCGACACATGGTTGGGTTTCCCATAATCCCCAGAATGAGCCCACGAGGGTTCCTACTGCGGTCACACCCAGCCCCACCCCTCTCGGGGAGCTCGGCGTCAGGGAAGACAGACGAAGGGCGGGCAGAGCCCATGGGACCTGGCCCCAGCCCCACACATCACCCACGGCTCAGAGGGCCCCAGACTCACGGGATGTCCGGGGGGTCGAAGGCGGACTTGATGACACCAGCGTAGATGGCCAGGATAGACAGCACCACGCAGGCCAGGAAGACCAGCGCCAGCTTGTTCACATACTTGACGCCCACGAAGACCACCAGGGCCATGAGCACCAGCGTGCATGTGCCATACACCCGCATGTTGTGGAGCATGGCGGCCGCCTCGCCACCCACGGCCTCCGCCTGGAAGATGGTCGCGCCCGGAGAGATGTATGTCTGCGGGAACAAGGCGGGTTGGGAGGCCTTCCCCGGCCATAGCACCCCAACGCCCCTTCCTCCTCCCAACAGGCGCTGGGGCCATCGGGACACATCCCTGCCAGATGGAGCCCGCGGGGGGTCAGCGCACGGGCAATGGTGCGCCTATATGATTCCCGGGAGCCACGCAGGCGCCTTCCAGTACAGCAGCTTCAGGACCTGGGGTGTCTAAACGTCCACACTCCAAAGAAACACCTTCTGCTGAGAGGAACGTGACTGTCGCCCAGGGAACGTGGCCAGCCCGGCTGGACGTCCTAGACAAACACGGGGTCTGACCACGCCGGCTGTGGGCGGCCTGTGTCCTGTCTGGACTCAAGGCACGGAGATGTGGGGCAGTGCTGCTCAGCTCCCTCCAGACCAGGACAGGACTGGGGTGCAGCAGGCATGGGGGGCATGGCACCCACCTGCACTAGAGGGGATCCTGTGAGTGTGGCAGCTATGGCGCCCGGGGCAGGTGGAAAGACCAAGAGACGGGGCCAGGGGACTCGGGTGGGACGGGTGTAGATGCCACTGAAAGGTTTCAGAACCTTCTCAGGCCATGTGGCTGCCTCCGTGAGCCCAGGAGGCTGGGAACCGGGTGTGGCAGGGAGAGGGTAGGTAGAAAGACTGGGGACGGGGGCTCAGGTGGGTGCCCTGAGGCCCTGCAGGCATGGCAGGTTTCAGAACCTCAGCAGGAGGTTGTGTCGGGTGAGAAGGGCGGGTCCCTGTCCCCATGAGGACCAAGGAACTCGTGCCACAGCCTGTGCTGTGCTCAGGCGCTTTGAGCCTGTTGTGGAAGGCGATGACCTCCCCTGGTGGCACGTTGCTGGACTCTGTGACCCTCGGCCAAGTGCCCAAATCAATCGGGCAGGGAAGAGGCTGGGATCCTGGTGAGGGGTTCTTCTAAGCTGAGTTCTAGCCCTGCCCCTAAAATGGCTCAGACTCACACCCACGCTGGGCTCAAACCTACAGTCCAGACGTCTGCCCAGCTCATGCCAGGTACCCATCATGGAGGGCAGCAATGGTGGCCAAGGGGAACGCGCCCGACGGCTTCCACCGTGGCCAGGGCCCAGGAGAGTCCGCAGGGCGGCCAGGGCAGCGGGGTCAGGATGGCTCAGGGTGCTGTGTACCCCACACCGCAAGACGAGTTGGGGGGCTCTTGGCATCCTGCCGCAGAGTATCGGGGGACCCTTTCCAAACCAGCACACTTACCAGAAAAATCTCGATGGTCCCCAAAATATACATGGCCCCTGCGAACGTGGTGCCCAGGTAGAAGCAGAGGCCGACGGCGCCTCCGAACTCCGGTCCCAGCGAGCGCGATATCATGTAGTAGGAGCCACCAGCTGCAGAGACAAGGCGGTGACCGTGGGTCAGGGCGCGCTCCTTGCTGCCTGCCGTTCATGGGTGAAGGAGAGCCTGTCTCTGAAAGGCAACGTGTAGGCCCTCGCCCACCCACAGAGCAGCACACAAAGACGTGTGGCCTCCATGGTAAAGTCTCCCCACATGAGGCTCAGCACATGCTCTGCGCCCACCACGCTCTTGTGGACATGAGGACCACGCTGAGGACCACGCGAGGTCAGGGCTAAGGCTCCCTGGGGAGGAGGCGGCCCCAGCAGCTCCTGGGAAAAGGCCTGCGTACGTCAGTGTCAGCCCAGCCCCCATTTCCACTAAGTGCTGTTTATAGAAAAAACAGAAGGGAGACCAGGACATTCAGGAGTTTTCTGGTGTACCGTGACTCATGCGCACCATCACTGATGGAAAAGCTGGGAATGACCCCAGGGCTGCCTGGTGAACTCGGCTCTCCCTGCTCTGAGCAGTGGGTGCGGACATGTGGAAGGGGCGCTAATGGATGCAGTCATCGTGAGGCAGAGACTGGCACCCTGGCCGCCGAGGGAGACCCCCGTGATGGCCCTCGTGCTCTCCTGGGGCCGGCGAAGGCCACAATGTGCTGTAGGGATGGGGCCGCTGTGTGAGGACCTGGTGCTGAGCAAGCCTGGTCCTTAACATGCACGGGACACATGGACTCGGGAGCAGATGCGGCATCATCTCAGTTCGCTAATGATTCCGTGTTGTAATCAATCTATCATTAATTAACAAGGTCAGGGAGAGCGCTTGTCTTCACCTTCCCTTGTGAGACAAAGGTTCCAGGAACTCAGCCTGTGGCACGCACCAGGATCCCAGCACTGCTGGACTTGCCCATGCCTCCCCTCCCCAGCCTACTGCCCCATGGGCACTGCTTACGTTGTCAAGAGATGGTCACCACGAAGCAAAATGGGTAAGAAAACCAAACAGCCGTGAACTCATGGCTCAAACGGCAGAGGAGCCGGTGGAGAACACGCAGAGGCCCGGCAAAGACCCCCAGGCAGCCCCAGCCAGGCCTTGGCGAGCGGCCTCCTCCTACGTACCGCGGTAGAACACAGACTCCTCTAACAGGACAGCCCTTACCTGGGACCACACCGTTGGTGGCGATCGCACTCATGGAAATGGCTGTCAGCATTGTCTGCAAAATGACAGGCAGCCATCTGAGGAGGTTTCCCAAGAGCCCGCTGGCACTGAGACACTCCCAAGGGAGGGTCCATGCCCTGGCTCCCGGCAGAAGCCAGCCCCCCACCCCAGGGCTCTCATCTCAAGAGAATGGCTGGGAAATCCGAGGCTCCCGGGCGCCAGCGTGCTGTGTCCTGGTTCCCACCCCTTTCCCTGGACCTCTGAAAGTGCCCAAAGTCCTTCCAAACTGGAAGTGACCTTATCAAAACACAGGACGTCCTTCCCCTGGAAGCCTCAGCCCCCCAATGCTGCCATGGGCCACCCACCACCGGCCGAGAGGCCTTTCTACAGACTCGGAAATGAGGTGCCAGCGTGCTGCTCAACATGGCAGTGCCACCCTGGCCAGTGCAGCATCTCGTCCCCGCAGCTGCCCCTGCTCTTATAGAAGAGACGGGAAATCTACCCAGGCGGCTAGGGAGGACTCTACTGTCCAGCTGCCACTACCCGAAGGAATAGCCACCCCCGGCTGGGGGACACTCACGCAGGTGCAGCACATGGCCACGATGAGGAAGGACTCCAGGACGCCGGCCACCCCCACGATCCACGTCAGGCGCAGGAAGAGGATGACGCCCAGGATGTTCTGCAGGCATGGTAGGTAGACGCCGATGAAGGTGCCCATGCGTGGAGCCTGCAGCAGAGCACGGCGTGTCCCAGGGGTCCACCCCCACCGAAGGGAGCCCCCTCCCCGGCTGCACTCAGGCCCTGGGCAGGCAAAGCAACGTAGGGGCAGGAGGAGGGGGCCGTGGAGGACAGGAGGGGTCAGGAGCCTGTCCCAGAACAGATGGAGGCTCAGGGAGAGGCCCTGGGCGGGATCCCCAACCATCCCGGGACAGGGGCTCAGAGGAGGGGAGCAGAACCACACGGTTGGCAGAGAACCCAGATGCAGCTGCTCCGCTGTGCCTCCCACGGAGAGAGCCTGCTATGCTGGAAAAGTTATGGGAAAAACAAGGAGAGCAAGAGGGCCCTGGCTCCATTCCCTGGATGGCTCAGGGCCTCAGACTTGACACGGAAGAGCCTGAGGCTTCAGGCACAGAAGCAGAGCCGGAGAGGGATGAAGCGGCTGCTGCCCACAGAGCTAACACGAAGCCACAGCTCAGCATCCACCCTGGGCGGAAACTGACAACCTAGTATGGAGGTCACCGTGAGATGACAGCAGAGGTTCAGATACCTGCCCAGCCGGCCACCGCAGCATGGAGCAGGCAGCCCACCTGACTTCAGACACCTGTGCCAGAGACAGAGACACCTCGTGGCCCTGAAGAAACCCGCGAGGACGGCAGGTCAGCAGCACGGCCAGGAGCAGGCCAGCGCCTGCCAGGTGGTCCCCCATCCCTGCTCGGGACGGACCAGGCTGGGGCAGAGGTTTCGGCTCCACTCAGCCCCACTCCAGCCATGAGCAGAGGCATGCGGTGTGGACCTGGAGGGCAACTGGCACCAGCACAAGGTGATGTTTTAACAGGAAAACGTCTCAAGGTTAGGTCAATACGGAAAAGGGGGAAGGTTCTTCGACATCTCTTGTGAACAACAGCGCAGGTCAGAACAGGCCCCGTGCAGAGGCTGAGGAGAGGGTTCGATCCTGGGGTTTGCACGGCCCAGCCCTGGGGAGGGGGCCAGCTACTGGAGGGAGACTGGATGGGGGCAGGCAACTGGGTGAAGGGCAGCTCCCAGGGAGAACACACTCAGCACCACACTACAAAAGCAAACAGGGTGGCTTCCGGGGTCACTGCAGGAATGCCTCCCAGACAGGCCGCAGCCAGAGCCAGGCAGGAATCGGGGGCTCCACTGTCTCTAGGACCTGGGGGAAAATCATGTCTGAGAGAGCAGCCAGGAAACAGCGTGAGAAGCTGTGCATCTGAGAGGCTGGCAGATTCACTGGGTTCCCTGAGCCCTGGGTGGGGAGCAACAGGGCAGCGACGGGGCCTGGGGAGGGGTCGCTGGTGGGCCCTCCCCACCCACCAAATCTGCGCCTTGTTCTTGGTGCAAACAAGAGAGAAGTGGCAGGAGCGGGGCAGGAAAGTGGTGGAGGAGCGGCTTTGGGACATTTTCGTTGGATACAACTGAGCTGAGGGCAGGGGAGACGCGCACTGGTGTGACTTCATGACCAGGCTTCAGCCAACACAGGAGACGACGGGCAGAGGTCCAGGCAGAGCTGGGCACACACAGTGGCCTTGCCCACAGAGCTCAGCCTCAGATCCCACAGCCCCGTGACTGGCAAGTCAGAAGCTGGTTCTCTGCCAAAGGCTGGGTCCTGAGTCCCCAGGAAAGGGCATGGCCCGCCTTGGCCTCTCAGTTTGCGTCTACAAGGCAACTTTTAGGGCTCAACCCGACCCAATTTCAGGTGCAGGAGGCTGGAGATGGCTGGGGCCTTGAAAAGGCTACATCATGAGAGCAGGTCTGCTGGGGACGAGCCTCTGAGCCTGGCCAAAGAGGACAGCGAGGGGCAGCCCTGCCCTCCCGCCTCTGGCCGAACAACAGCCCCTCAGGGAGGCATTGCGTTCAATGCAACCGAAACCTGCCACGGCCACACCGCAGGCCTGCGGGGGTCACAGACCCTGCTTCCGCCACAACTGAAACGCTGGCTGCATCAGCCTGGGGCGCCCGAGGGACAGAGGCCTGAGAGCCACTGGCCTGGGGTGGGGTTGCTGGGGAGGGCCAGGAAAACCTTCCAGGTGGGAGACTCCTGGGCCCTGGTCCACGGCGTGCCGGGAACAAACGCACCTGCCTGGACATTTTGCACATGCCTCAGTGGCAAGTAGGGTGAGAGAAGCTGGGTGTGCTCTCTCTGGGCGTCTCCAAGACGGGCATGGCAGGCTGGGCTGTGCCAGGCTGAGGGGTCGGGACTGGGTGGCCAGGCCACTGGTGCCGGGGAGCAGCCGAGCCGGGGCGGAAACTGGTTCCCGGAGCCCTCGGACCAGGCCTGCGGGAAGGCCCCCGCTACCTGGAGAATGCTGACATCTCCCTGGGACAAAAACTCCAGCACAGAAATGGAAGGCCTGGGCTCTGAGCTTCCGTGCCAGGGCATGAGCTGGAGCCCGTGAGGCCTCGAGGCTGCACCCAGCACACATGACACCCCAGACAGGTGCCGGGCGCTGAGCCTGGTGCAGCAGCAGCCGATTCTGCAGTGTCCACGTGTGGCAATGACGACCCCACCCAAGGGGTGGCCGTGCTATGGACAGGCGCGTGGGCCACAGGCTCCCCCAGCCAGGAAGGGCCCCTCGGGGACTCAGAAAGAGGTCCAGAGACACAGCTTCTGAAGAGGCCGCTGCCCTGTCCCGGGATGACAGCCAGGACGGAGGGACCTCGTCAGGCCGGGCCCCACCCTGAGGTGGCTACGTGGACACATCCCTCACTTGTCTCTGGTTACTTCAACCACAAGTGATGCATCTCAAAACCAAAACCAAGAGTCCTCAAGTATCCTGGAAACGCAGAATTAATTCCACCGTGTTCACGGGAGGTGGAAGGAGAGACCTGGTCGGGAGCCTGACTTCCCGAGCGCTGTGTGGGACTCGGGTCAGCCAGATACTGGACGCTGGCATGAGGCACTCGGGGTGGCCCCGACACAAAGCACTGGGCCCCAGGATGGGTGGATGCGGGGTGGGGGCGGGCAGGAGGCTAGCTGAGAGAACCCCCTGCTTGGTGGCAGTCACACACAGCAGGACCACCCCAACGACAGTCCAGCTTCAGCGGCAGGACTTGGGGGGAGGCCACTCTGAGAACTATCCCGGCTTCAGCGGCAGGACTGGCGGGGAGGCCACCCTGAGAACTATCCTGGCTTCAGCGGCAGGACTTGGGGGGAGGCCACCCTGACAACCTCCTGGCTTCAGCGGCGGGGCCTACACAGCATGGTTTCAGTGGATATTTTGGTTCGTTCTAAAGCACTGCACGTGTATTTGGAAGACTTAGAAAGCAGAGAAATTTGAGAACAAACGAAGCCACCTGCGTGCCCCACCGTGAGGACAGCGCTTGCTTGACCTGCACAGGGACTCTCTCCCCACACAGGCTGGGGTCCTTCTGGCCTGTGAGCGTCATCTCGGGGTGTCAGGCCTCAGGGTGGCTCCCAGGCAAGTGGTCTGCACATGACGGCAGAACGCTCCCGGGGATGCTCGGCGGGGGGTTCTCCAGACCTCGCTGCCCACAGAAACTGCCCAAGGGAAATCTTTCCATGGAATCCCCACTGTACAACCCCCTTATTTCCTAGGATGGATTCCTGGCAACAAACCCTCAAGGAATAGACCTGCAGGGAAAATGCCACCAGGCTAAGTGTCCTGCATAGAAAGGAAAAGGAGGGTGGCCTGAGGGAGTGCCAAGGCCACAGCACCCCGGAGGGGCCCCGTCCCGGCCTCTGGGCATTGCCCAGAGGGTGAACAAAACACCCTGAGTTCATGTCTCGACAGGAAATCCAGCTGCCCCGATGTGTGGGGGAGTCACGCTTCCCAGGACAGTGGAGAGGAAAGAGGCCTGGACCAGAGCTGTGGGGCAGGCGCCACCAAGACCTCCCAGGAAGAAAGGGCTACACATGGCCCCAACACCCGAGCTCAGGGCAGCTCTTCTGACGAGCAGCTGCTTTGCCAGCACGGCTCTGACCCTGCCAGGACACCCGGGACGGGCAGGGGGGCGGTACCTTGGCCTCGCGCCGCCGGCTCTCCTCATCCTCCTCGTGTTCCACCACGCCCTGGCTCAGGTTGGTGTAGTTGGCCAGCTTGTTAAGCAGTGAGGACACCATGGGGTTGCTGTCCATCTCCTCCTGCGCAGCGCGGGGACAGTCACAGGCAGCCCTCCCCTTGCTGTGGCCCCCAGGGCTCCCCCTCCATGTTCAGGGCATGGCACTCAGGCTCTCATCCTGTCCTGAGCCCCCAAGTCTGAAGAGAGCCAGGCCCTGATGCCAGTGAGGCAGGTCTGAGTCCGAGGTTGGGGCTCCAGGCCTCACTAGCGGGACCACTCACCCAGTGTGGGGACCCCGAGACGGCCAGCACTCAGCAGCTCCAAGGGGCTCCTGGGGGCCGCAGCACCCTCGATCCAGGGAGACCCCAGAAGGTGCCGGCTGAGGACCACATCCCAGCTCAGGTGCAGGACAAGGCCCCCTCTGTGGCCTTCGGGACAGGGAGGCCCCACATTCCCCGCCATGGTGTGCGGTCCCATGGGAGGCCCTGGCCTGGGGGTCCCCGGGGAATCCTCTACTTTCCACAACGAAGCAACGGCCCTGGTATCTTCTTCTCAAAAAAGTCAACTTACCTCGAAAAGCGCCATGTTCTTTCCTTCCAAGAAGCTTTCCTGCTCCACCTCCACATTGTTGAGGAATGGACTGTTTTCTCTCGGATTTCCATCTCCTGCAAAGAGAAAAACAATTCAGGGTCAGCTTAGAAGAACTGAAAGAAAGCACTTTCAGTTCACACTATCCCCAAGGCACACGGCACACACTATCCCCAGGGCACACACTATTACCCAGGGCTCACACTATTACCCAGGGCACACACTATCCCCAGGGCACACACAATCCCCAGGGCACACACTATCCCCAGGGCACACACTATCCCCAGGGCACACACTATTACCCAGGGCACACACTATCCCCAGGGCACACACTATTACCCAGGGCTCACACTATTACCCAGGGCATACGCTAGCCCCAGGGCACACGCTAGCCCCAGGGCACACACTATCCCCAGGGCACACACTATCCCCAGGGCACACGCTAGCCCCAGGGCACACACTATCCCCAGGGCACACACTATTACCCAGGGCATACGCTAGCCCCAGGGCACACACTATCCCGAGGGCACACACTATACCCAGGGCACACACTAGCCCCAGGGCACACACTAGCCCCAAGACACACGCTACCCCAGGGCACACACTATTACCCAGGGCACACACTATTACCCAGGGCATACGCTAGCCCCAGGGCACACACTATCCCCAGGGCACACACTATTACCCAGGGCACACACTAGCCCCAGGGCACACACTATCCCCAGGGCACACGCTACCCCAGGGCACACACTATCCCCAGGGCACACGCTAGCCCCAGGGCACACACTATCCCCAGGGCACACACTATTACCCAGGGCATACGCTAGCCCCAGGGCACACACTATCCCGAGGGCACACACTATACCCAGGGCACACACTAGCCCCAGGGCACACACTAGCCCCAAGACACACGCTACCCCAGGGCACACACTATTACCCAGGGCACACACTATTACCCAGGGCATACGCTAGCCCCAGGGCACACACTATCCCCAGGGCACACACTATTACCCAGGGCACACACTATCCCCAGGGCACACACTATTACCCAGGGCACACACTAGCCCCAGGGCACACACTAGCCCCAGGACACACGCTACCCCAGGGCACACACTATCCCCAGGGCACACACTATCCCCAGGGCACACACTATTACCCAGGGCACACACTATCCCCAGGGCACGCACTATTACCCAGGGCACACACTATCCCCAGGGCACACACTATCCCCAGGGCACACACTATTACCCAGGGCATACGCTAGCCCCAGGACACACGCTACCCCAGGGCACACACTATCCCCAGGGCACACGCTAGCCCCAGGACACACGCTACCCCAGGACACACACTATCGCCAGGGCACACGCTAACCCCAGGACACATGCTATATCCAGGGCACACGCTAGCCCCAATGCACACACTATCCTCAGGACACATGCCAACCCTAGGGCACATGCTATCCCCAGGACACACGCTAACCCCAGGACACACGCTATCCCCAGGGCACACACTATCCCCAGGACATACACTATCCCCAGGGCACACGCTAACCCCAGGATACACGCTAACCCCAGGACACACGCTATCCCCAGGGCACACACACTAACCACAGGGCACACGCTATCCCCAGGGCACACGCTATCCCCAGGACACACACTAACCCCAGGACACACGCTATCCCCAGGGCACACACACTAACCACAGGGCACACGCTATCCCCAGGACACACGCTATCCCCAGGACACATACTATCCCCAAGGCACACACTAACCCCAGGACACACGCTAGCCCCAATGTACACAAGAACCACAGGACACACCCTAGTCACAGGACAGACACTATCCCCAGGGCACACGCTAGCCCCAGGGCACATGCCATTTCCCAGTATATAGGTTATCTCCAGGACACACACTAGCCCCAGGGCACAGGACATTTCCCAGGATGCAGGCTAGCCATTCTCCCCAACACAGTATCATTTAAAACAAGGCCTTAGGAAGCCTCAGCAAGTGCGCTGTTCAGCCCAGGGCAAGGGCGTCTCCCTCACATTGAAAATCTCTCACGCAGCCAAACACGGGCAAAACTGTCGCTTCCAAAAGTCAGGCCTGCACCTCCTAACCCTGCTACTGAAGCCACCACTTTTGAGGGAAACAGGATTTCCCAGTGGTCCATGTTGAGGACGCTGCCCGCAGGCGCCCACGTCAATGAGCCCCCCTGCATCTTTCAAGAGGGCTGGGCCGGTGACCCCTCTGTGGGGCTGAGCCCAGCGGGTTCGGTGGGGGGTAGATCCTCGAAGCTGCATGAGTGAGATGAGTGAGGGGGTTGTGGGGGTGGGGGGACTTGAGGCTCCCTGGTGGGTTGAGACATGCTGGTCCAGTGATGGAGTTAGGAACCCGCAGGGAGACCCTAGCAGCTGCCTGAGGGCATGAGTGAGGGGGTGGGGGGAATTTGAGGCAGGTGGGGAGATGCTAGCAGCTGCTCGAGGCCATGAGTGAGGGGACCATGGTGGGGGGGAATTTGAGGCAGGTGGGGAGATCCTAGCAGCTGCTTGAGGCCATGAGTGAGGGGGCCATGGGGGGGGGGACTTGAGGCAGGTGGGGAGATCCTAGCAGCTGCTCGAGGCCATGAGTGAGGGGGCCATGGGGCGGAGGGGACTTGAGGCTCCCTGTCGGGTCTCAACACGATGGCCCAAGTGATGGTGTTAGGGGTTGTGGGCCGTGGGAGGTGGTGAGGCGTGAAGGGGATGGAAGTCCTCACACCCAGGCCTCAGCAGCGGAGCTGTCTCACCCTCCCACCCTCCAAGTGAGCAGATGGCAGGGAGCCTTTGGCCCTCACCAGACCCCAAACCTGTCTCGGCTTTGGTCTGAGACTTTCAGCCCTGAGGACTCTGAGAAGTTTCTGTCTTCATGAAACACCCGGCCTCGGCGACTGTCACAGCAGCACAAGGAACTAGGCACAAGCCACTGCTCCCGAGCCAGCAGCCCATGGCCACTGCAAACACCACAGCCTCACCTGCAGGGGCAACAGCCTGCCTGGGATCCCCGAGCCAACCGCCCATGACTAGAAGAACAGGGTCTGCAAACACACAGGCCCCAGCCAGGCACGGTGAGGAGCTGAAGGGCATCTGGGCAGCTCAAGCCCATACCCAACCACACCTCCAGGCCCTCTGTACCTTGTGCTGGATACCAGACCCCCAGACCAGGAACAACCAGGCCGGGACCCTTCCTAGGGGTGCATGGCCCTGCACAGAACTATGAGGGACCCTAAAGGTCCAGATGAAATGGCCAAGCAGGACACGGGGTGGCTGGAGGGCAGGCCAAGACCTCATCACTGCACCAAACAACCTGGGGTGGAAGGATGGGCATTTTCTACAGGACACATTTCAGATGTGCCAGAGTCCACCGGCACACAGGCACCAGCTGCAGGAGCAGTGCGTTCCAGCCGTGCCAGCAAAGATGGCGTCGCCATCCCGGAGCAGGTGGGCAGCACGTGCCCTCAGTACGGTGTCCAGAGTGGAAAGCACAGTCCTAAGGGTGTGCAGGTCCCCGAGAGTGACCATCAGCAACTGCAGACATGCAGACCCAGACCTGGGGTGCACCAGAGAGCGACCAGTGCCTCGGAGCAGTGGCCCCACCCCCCAAAATGTCCAGGAGACACACACAGAGGAAGCTCCGGAAGAGAGATGGTGAAGTGCACGCACAACCTCGACTTCCTCCTTCTCACCAGCTGGTGAGATCTGAACAAGGTCTCCGTGTGGGATCGTCAACCTCCTGATGCCGGCAACTACACTGCAGAGATTCTGGAAGAAATGTGCTCGCTTTCAGGAAATATTCCTGTGAGGGGCACCACGTCAGCTGCTTATTCCCAGCAGGGCAGAAACAAATGTAGAAGTGAAAGATGGAGACCCAGGACGAGGTGGGGGGTAGGGGGCAGGAGGGACACAGCCATAGCACGGGTGACAGATGGAGACCTGGGGTGGGGTGGGGTGGGGTGGGGGAGCGGGGGGCAGGAGGGACACAGCCACAGCAGGGGTGAAAGACGCAGACCCGCGGTGGGTGGGTGGTGGGTGCAGGAGGGACATGGCCATACTGGGGGTAAAAAGACGGAGACCCGGGGTTGGAGGGGGGCAGGAAGGACACAGCCACAGCAGGGGTGAAAGATACAGACCCGGGGTGGGTGGGTGGTGGGTGCAGGAGGGACATGGCCATACTGGGGGTAAAAAGACGGAGACCCGGGGTTGGAGGGGGGCAGGAAGGACACAGCCACAGCACGGGTGACAGATGGAGACCTGGGGTGGGGTGGGGTGGGGGAGCGGGGGGCAGGAGGTACATAGCCACAGCAGGGGTGAAAGACGCAGACCCGGGGTTGGAGGGGGGCAGGAAGGACACAGCCACAGCAGGGGTGAAAGACGCAGACCCGGGGTGGGTGGGTGGTGGATGCAGGAGGGACATGGCCATACTGGGGGTAAAAAGACAGAGACCCGGGGTTGGAGGGGGGCAGGAGGGACACAGCCATAGCAGGGGCGAAAGATGGGGAGCCGGGGTAGGGGTTCAGGGGGCAGGAGGGACATGGCCAACGTGGCAGAAGACTGGCATTTGGGCAGCAGAGGCCAAGGGCAGACGGCCTTCTCCACACTGGCCTTGCAACCTTTCTGAAATCTCAAGTTACATCAAAATCAGGTTAAAAGAAAAATTACAAATACATTAAACGAAGAAAAAACGTCTGAGAGTCTTTGTAGGTTCTCTCCAAGGTGAGTCCGCCCAGGGCCCTACCCGCTTCAATGTTTTCAGGGGATTCCCGCTCAGGCCCTTTTCCCAGACGTGATGGTCAACTGTTTACAGACCAGATCAGCAGTGACTAGAGGGTCCTTCTGGAGTCAACAGAAGATGAAGGACCAGGATTCTGATGCAGATACTCTTGGAGGGAGGGAGGGAGGAAGGAAGAAAGGGAGGGCAGGAGGGAAGGAGGGAGGGAAGGAGAGAGAGAGGGAGAGAGGGAGGGAGGGAGGGAGGGAGGGAAGAAGAGAAGAAGGGATGAAGAAAGGGAGGGAAGAAGGGAGGGCGGGAAGGAGGGAGGGAGG